TGGGAGGTAAAACCAAATATCGCAAGTTTATCGTAAAATGCAGAAAAGTTGATACCTCTGTAATTCATTCTGTTCTACCACTGTTTTTAAAATACATTCTTTGAATGAAAAGATAAAAGTTTTGAGTTTCTTACAATTAATTTTATTATTTTTTTACTAATATTTTGCTAATTGAAAACAAAAGCACAAAAGGGAGAAAAATTTCCTAACAATGCCATGTTTTTAGTTGAAATTGCACTTATTATCCCTGCTATTAAACTAACTTTTTTCTCCAACCTGAGTTTCCTCAGCTTTTTCCGATATTCCCTGGTGCTATGGGCCCTTCCATTCACATTAAACAAGCAACGGTACAAAGACTAATGAGTGGAGAGTCTTAACACACTGTTGTTGACCGACAACTGTACTGAGAATTCATCTCATGTCACTAACTGTTATTTTGAAAAAACAGTGTAACAATCATCTACAGATCATGGTATACAGCAGCTTTTACAAATTGCTGTTGAATAGCATACTCTACACGCTCTAGTCGGATTTTCTTTTTTGCAAGTGACTATTTTTTCTATGATGTGGTTTATTAGTTGCCTGAAGGGTAAATCATTATAAGGAGCTGCTTTATAAATTCAAAAAGTTTTAGGAGCAATACAGCATTCTTTGGAATCCACAGTTATTCACACTCTAGCTACTGCTAGTAGAAATTTCTTGTAACTTATTTTACTTTCTGGCAGATGAGTACAGTACATTTTACATGCATTGAACAAGGTGCAGTTATTAGAAAAAATGCTAATCTTTCAACCACTTTAAAGTCTTTTGTACAATACTGCTGTCAGCCAAATATTGATCGGCAAGATTTACCCTTTTTATGTGCTTATAGCAATGTAATATACACATAGGTTTAATTGTATTCTAACACATCTTATAGAGAGACACAGCTTGAGGTATGCTGACGAGCAATTGTATTGTATGATCTCCAACAGCGTACTGAGAAAACAACAGTGATGCAAAAAGTCCGCAACGTTTGGTCATGAAAACACAAGTTAACTGGTGAATGGTCAACAATGTGTTAAAAACTTCTTCTCTTAAAAAAATTTTCTACCAAGTAAAACTAAAAAATATTTGCATTTGTTATTGTTAAAATAATGACTTTTCTTAGCAAACAAAATACCATAGTTGCTTTGCGAACTGCTTCAATATAAATGAATTTTTATGCATGCATACAGATGGTACTATTTCAGAAGAATACAGTAAACTTTATAATAGTGATAATTCTCCATGTTGGATATCAGGACATTATTGTATTATTTATAAAAATATTGAAATTAATTAGTATTACCACACCAAAAATTTTAAAACAAAACAGGGTTCCCTATACTAAGTAACAGCACCAAATTAAAAAAATTTTTTTTACACTAAAGTGGAGTAGAAAGTTAAATAAACAGATTATTTCATTAAATGAAATCTAGATAAAAAAATAATAGAACAATAATAATAAATAAACAATAATAAATAATAATTTAGTATGTCTTTGTTATTCTATTATTTACAGAATAAGTAGAATATTTTCTAAAACATTATTATATCAACAATTTATAACATACATAAGTAGGAAAATATAGATAGTATATAGATCTGTTTAATCGTTTCATATTCTAAATATTGCAAAATTAGTGAAGCACATTATCTTTGTATGGATATATTGCTTTTCAACATAAACAAAGTAAAGGAAAATGGAATAAATAGGAAAATAGCATGACAAGTTCATTTGGTCCCATCATCTAAATTTCTAGATCCTCTACTGTTAACATATAAATATCAATACAATTTAAATAAAAGAGATTAATTGAAAATTCATATTTCGGTTTAAAAAAAATCTTTAATTTTTTCGTTTTCTTCAAAAAAGATTTAAAGAATTAAAGATTTTATGCAAAATACTATAAAGTAAACAATATTTTTAAAGATGGTATAAGATTAATAGTAAAATATTTCATAATTACACATATATATTTATATTTTTTGCATTTCATATCATGAAAGACATAATGGAGCAATTTCATAAAAAAATTTCACAAATTCATTTTCATATGCTTTTAAATTGTACAATACATAGTTAATTGAATTGAACACAAAAATCTAGTTAACAGGATTCATTAGATATTCTTAGAAAGTATATAACATATTCTAGTTACAAAGAGATAAACATTATATATATATNATAAATATATATATATATATATAAAACAAAGCAATGAAATAAAAATAGGATTGAACAGGATAGGAAAACAGCAGCAAGAGAAATAAATTGGTACTATTATAATATAAACCTTACATAAAATGCAATGTATACAGATTCAGTGTTACAAACACTTGCAGGGAAAGTAAATTAGCTTTTATTCATTGTTGTATTCAGTAAACCTGATTTGACAATGAATCAAAGAGAGAAAATCTACATTAGTTTATTTTATAAATACTTATATATAAATACTTATTTTATAAGTACTGTATAAACCTCATATTAAATGCAATGTAAACAAATTCAGTGTTACAAACATTTGCAGGGGGAGCAAATCTGCTTTGATTCATCGTTGTAGTTGATCTGACAATTAATAAAAGAAAGAAAATTTTCACTAGTTTATTTTATGTTGATGTGAGACAGAGAAGCAAATTAGTTATAAACAAATATATGCACTCTCTGGTCCAAAGTATCTGGACATTCCTCAAAGCAACATGGTGTCAGGGTGATTTTTATAGTTTGGCCTCAGTCTCTTTGTTCCTGTGGTTCGAAACATGAACAATGAGATGTATGTGGATGTTTTTGACTTGATCACCCAAGTCTATAGCAATATTTTGAGGAAGGCCCATTTCTCTTTCAGTAAAATAACTTCTTCATTCAAACATTAAGACTTGCTTAGTCATGGTTTTAACAAATTGGGTGTTTAAGGACTGGTATATTTTAAAATTTTTCATTTTATTCAATTACTTTTTTTTAAAAAGGTTGGATCATAACTACCACTCTTTGTCAAAACCTTTTCTGGGAATAAGAAATAATTTGAAATAAAGAATTATCCTGCATTTGATATTATAAGAAAATGGGGGAATGATTTTGAAAATAACTTAGCAATTAAAAAAAATTACTCAATGGGAGTTATCCCTAACAAAATCAGTTAAATGAATTTAATATATACCACACAGATTTGAAGTAACAAAGATAATCCTATTTTTTTCCAGAAAGATTCTTATTTATACAATCTTTCGGAAGAGAAACAACTTTTATATAACCCCAGAGTTGCTTAGAATTGAGATCATTTGAATTAGGTGTTTTTTACTATTGTAGGCTGCAACTGTCAATTATAACAGTTTGGTAAGCATATTCTTCTTTGTATTTATTCTTCAAATCAAACACAAAATTCTAAGGCATGAAGCAATGTCTAGCACAGTCCATAATTTCATAAAAACGTAACTTTTTAGAAATTTACATATTTTCCATAACATTACTATTATGACAATTGAAGGAAGGAAAAGGCTGGAAAAAATGATTTAGAGAACGATTAAAGTACTACTTGAAATACTAAAAACAGATCTTATAAAAAATGTTTTGAATTCAAAAGCATTGAATTCAATAACAAATTAAATTAGTTATTGAGTAAAAAAATTTTGGAAAACATCATTCAAAATTTTAAAATTCTCATTAACATGGGATTTAAAGTCCACTTGAACCTACTTTTCCAGAATGAAAGATGTCATTATCCTTAGAGAGAAGAAAAGGATAAACCAGTTTAGCACTGTTTTTGGATTTCGAGTAATAATATTAATAATTGAAGAAATTTTGCTGAAAAAGTTTCCGCAAAGAGAGAATGAAATAATTTTTAAAAATATTGCATAATGACCGTTCTGCAAATAAAAAAAATGGTGAATGTTTGCAATAAATTTTGCTGAAATGAAAAGAGAACAAGCCTTACGAAGTTTTCAAGTTGCACACAGAAAACAAAGAGATTGACAGTAGATAATGTGATGGTAGTTTCTCTTAAAGACTGGAACCCAAAACCAATGGTTATAAAATAGCCAAAAAATAACCTCAGTGCAGATTTTTCTGCAGTGAGAACCAAAAAATTGATAACACCATTAAAAAATGAAAACACCTGAAAATGTTTTAAAAAATTTCTCTCCTGCTTTATAGAATTTGACTTCACATCACTTAAAATAGGTCAAACATAACTTTTCAAAATAATTTCTGAAAATGTTAAGATTTATAACTTTTAAGAATTAACAATATAAATCACATTCAAAAATATGAATATGTATAGCTAAAAATCAGATTTCTTAATACAAAAATATGCATTGAAATGAAGGAGGTTAGAATAATTTGTTTATTCCGTAAGTTATGATAATGCTTAAAATAAAAAATACCAATAAATAATTTTGAACATAAATAACATAAAATATTTACTGTAAGATGATTTGAATTGATTAAATATTCAATTCAAATCTATTTAACATAATAGTAGATTTGAGAAAAATCAATAAGTTATAAAAATATTTGCTTACATAACATTGTTCACATGCTGAACAGTTCATAAGCATATAATAAGTTAATGAGAAATTTAAAAGCATATGTAAGGTTACATAAACCAAGCCACTAAAACTGTAGTCATTCTTTCATATTTCAGTTAAATGAAATGAATAATATAAAACAAACTGCAAATGTGAAAAGGAATTGAAAAATAATTAATTTAGGTAGTGGATTGTAAAATTCAAATCATGTTTGAGCTTGATAAAGATGTTAGAATTGAAAATTACATAGAACAATCAAAAGGGGAGATATGTGTATCTAACATGAAATTACCTATGAGTATAAATGATTTTTATAATATTGTTGATATTATTGGCGTATAGATCATTTTTACTAAAAAGATAATGACTAATACAACATGAATAATTTTATTTTCTGTAATTTAATGTTGATAACTAGAGGTATATTTGACTTCCCATACTCCTTCAAGTTACTGAAGTTGCACAATGGAATTCGAATTAAATCTAGATAGTTATCTAAAAGACAATAAGTGCATAAATTAGCATGTTTATCTATGACTAAATATGAGGGTCATTATGATTACTAAGTAGTTTTTTTGGGGGAAGGGGAATTTTAGAAATTTTAGTTCAGTCCCCATCGTTCAAGTTCAACAAATAATAGATCCTATTGAACAAATCTGAATTTCATTGTTGATTTTCTGGACTGTTTCACATTAAAATTTTGCAATAGGCTTGCAATTTTTTTATAGTTTCAAATATTGAAGTTTTGTATCATATTTTAAATTACAGGTAAAAACGTTCCAAACTGCAAGAAAATAGTTACCTGGTTAGATTTTTACTTTTATTCTTAGCTGTAATTTGAATGTTAATCTCAATATTACACTAAAAATTAATAGATTACTCTAAAATTTATAAAACAAAATATTCTGTATATTGCTATTCCATATTCAAAACAAATTATTAATTTCTGCACATATTTTAATTAATTCATTAAATTATTTATTCAAATAACTCAAAAATCAGACCTATACTCATGCAAAAATTGTACACATATGACCCTCCATAAGGATTGATATGCACCTTGAAATTCTTTGAAAAAATGATTTTTTTCATGCTGTATTTCCTTAAACAATAACATTAAAAAAAATATGATCCTAAAATAGCAATTTAATCACTAAATTGTTTTGAAAAATCGTGTAATTTAGAAATATTAACAAGCTAGACCATCTTCAAAACATTTTTTGTAGTGACCTTGATCTCTCAAAAGCTGTTGTTCCAAATTTCTGTAAAATAGGACTATGATTCCATATTTTATTGTTATTATTACAAAAAACTAGTTAAAAATTGGAAATATTTTTTGATTCAAAAGAGATCAGCATTTTTTACATAATTAATTAATTTGAAAATGGAAAAATTATACGGAGCATTTTCCAGTGTATAACTAAAATTCTTAAATATAATGTTATAGAGAGGAGTGTCATGATTGAGGCTCTATTCAAAAGCAGACTGTCTGATTTCATTTTATAAGAACTTTGTAAAATGATGCAGAAACAATTTTAGAATTTTTAATTTTAAAAACAATTCAAAAAAGAAAATATTTTGAATCTTGTAGGTGCATGTTATTCTCTTAACCTTATGCTTACATCTGGTACAAGAAGTAGGCCAGAAAAATAGGTATTTGCATGCTAAGCACTACATTCAAAAGATTAATTATAATTCCATAAATTTAGTAGAAAACAGATCCAGAGAATTAAAGCTAAACTCATATATAAACACCATTTATATCACTTTTTTTAAGTATAAAATTTCTTTATCTTAACATTCACCACAGTAAATTCATTAAAAATTGCACATAAGGCACCTATACAAAATGCACGCACAAAACTTACTTCATATTATTAACATCTTGTTTAGTGCAATGCGTGAAAGACTATTAAACATGATGTAAAGAATCATGTAAAAGAGTTTTTCTGTATTCAAAATGTAAAAAAAAGTATAATATGAACTAGCCCTAAGTGGAAAAATGATTTGACTCAAACTGGTGATGTCTGATTAGTTCTTTGGATGTTTTTAAAGTTAAAAATAAATCTATTTCTCTCCGTTATTTCCTCAGACTCTGAGGGCGTTTCTGCTTCAGAAGGAGCTTCAGATGGGGCTTCAGAAGGAGGCTCTGATGGGCAATCGGCTGCCATGTATGGATTATTCAAAATGCTTGTAGTTTCAAATGTAGTTGGTGGATTTCTGATATAATTACCTGATTGCATATTCTCAATAGCTTTTCTAAGCTAAAGGAAAGAAATGACAAATTAATTTTAAAGAATTATCATTAAGAACTTAAAGAATTGTCAACATTTTATCCCCTTCTCTGTCTGATTCCCCCCCCCCTGAATTTCTGACCAAAAATAAAATTTTTTTATTGCTGATAATTAATATATGTTCTATCCTAAATTTGAAAATGCCAAATATTTTTGTCAGCAAGCAGTTTTTTGCTAGACCTATTGGAGCAAAATATGTGATGCCCCATCCACTGATCTCAAATTTACCCTGCAATGCACCCTAGTTGTAACTTTGAACACTGTGATAACATGCTTATTACCTCCATTGTATTAAGGTGTTTAAGATAAATATTTGCATAAAATAACTATTAAAATTAGGTAAATATTTTAGAAAATAATTTTCTAACTTCAACGTTTAAAAAGCTTTACAATCAGTCTTAGGGCATCAGAGCATAAGAATCACATTTAGCACAAAACTATCTTAACTATTTTGACATGCAACAGTAACACTTGAAAGAGAAATTACAGAAAGAACAAAATGATTTTGATTTCAATTCCAGGTAAGAAATTGTGATGAAAGTGAGACTAGTTGCTCTGTCTCTTAGCAATATTCTGAAATACAAAAATAATTGCAGGATTTAAAGAGACATGTCAGTAGTGCCAAATTCAATTTCAATGATTCAACTTTTTTCCTCATCGCATGGTATGCAATGCCAACCATGCGAGCAATAAAATGCCGAACGTATACGGTGCGATGCCGACAGAGAAGGGGCTAAGTTAAGCAATAACTATTTGTATATTAACTACTTTACTTAAAAACATTGTTTTGTTAATAATTTTAATAAAACAAAACTTAAAAAATTAAAAAAAAAAGCATCATGTACATAAAGCATAATAAATGTGCAAACAACTTACAGAATGTTCAATATAAAATGATTTACTGAAAATATGGCAAAATTCAATCTGGTTATAAGCCAAAATACTAAATCTGGGTATAAGCCCAAAGTATTTTTTCTTAGTATTCATTTTTTAGTTCATTTTTTTTCTTATTTATAGTGTTTAATGGTAAGTTTTTGGAATGCATTTTATTCTTCCATCATCCAGTGGCCAGGTATAAGATGGCCTTCAGAAAAAATTCCAAAATTAAAGGATTCATAAGAAAACTTGCTGTTCCATAATTTACATTAAAACTAAAATGAAATTATCTTGAAACATCATGTAGTGCCATTTTGTTCAAACATATTTCTGTAACCCACTGACGGTTCTGCACGTAAAAAGTCGCATTTTAACCTGCAGTCTTCTCTGCATGGCAAAACCGGTTTTCCCATGTTAACTGATAGGGAAACTGTGTGTAGGGGTGAAACATTCTCCCAATTTTGCCTATTTCCTTAAGCGCCAGTGGGTTAAAGTTCAAATAAGAGTGACCGGATTAGAGATACTTTTGGGTACAAATTAGATATTTTAGGTGCACAAATTTATAAGTAAGTTAGAAGTGACTTGAGCTTTTAATTGGTATTTCATTTTATTTACTCCATTAAGACAAATATCTCTAATAGTATAAGAAATGTTTCTAGTTTATTTTCAATAAATAATACAAATTATATATAATGCCTACAAGTAAAGTATGCACAATTTTTCTCATATTATTTAATAAAAATAATATTTTAAATTGGATAAAGAAAAAAAAACTAAAGCAATTTTATAGCACAGCATATTATCTTTTAGCACAGCAAAAGGAAAAGGGGGCCGAATGTTGGAAATAGAAACAAATAGATGGCAGTGTTTCCCTCCTTGCTGCGTTACTTCCTGAGGGAAGTTGAGTCACTTCCTGTTGTCTCTCAGCTAGAAGGAAGTGGGTGTTTTTGTATTTAGTTAGTTATGTTTTGCTTTGTATAGAGTACGTTTCTTCTCTTGAAGAGTTATGTTTTAGTTTTGTTGAGAGTAGCTTTCATTCTTTATATTTAAAGTTTTATCTTCTTCAATAAATATAGTTGTACAGTCTTTTGTGAATTGAATTCTTCATTTATAATAGATGTCTGCAATATCTGATACTTAATAAGCTGGCTCCTATTTTCAACAAAAAGTTATCATAAGAGTCGCAGAGATGCTACACTGCGCGTATCAGCATCCTTATAGAACAGACCTTTAAATTACCATTTAGAACATCGGTATAATAAAATAAAATATTTTACATTTCATAAAGTAAAGTTTTAATTTCTAAATTATAATTAAAATAAAATCCGTTAACAGGTCTGCTCACTTACGGCTGTAGACTGACTATTTAGGCAAGGCTGAACTAGATAATCGTTGATACAGGTTAATTTGGAATAAGCGTGCATAATAAATAACCCTTTAAATGGTCTGAAAATAGTGTGAAGTAGAACAAAATATTTTTAAATACATCAAATAATGCAATATCTAAATTATTGGGGGGGGGAGAGAGAGAGAGAGAATGGTCTAAAATTCATTAACAAAGAGTTCATGTGAAAAAAGTTTTCTTTTTCAGCAAAAACGATATAAAATAAAGTTGTTCTTACCAGTTGGCACTGTGGAAAAAAATTAAGTTAAGTACAATAAATAATTCTGAAAATAATGTCAAGTACAACAAAATATTCTTAAATACATCAAATAACGTAATTTCTAATTTATTTGGGGGGTGGAGAGAATAGCCTAAAATGCGTTAACAAAAAGTTAATGTAAAAAAAGTTATCATTTTCAGCAACAAAACGATATAAAATAAAGTTATTCTTACCAGTTGTGGCACTGCACCAAAAAATAGAGCTGTCATGTTTTACATGAGACGAGCAAATAATTAACAGCAAAAAAATATTTATGCGCTCAGCGCGGCGCCGATTAAAACCTTACGTTGGGAGGGTGGGAGTTTGAGAGAAAAAGGTTAGAGAATCTCAAATTTTAGGAAAGTAAATTATTCTTCTATTAGAAAAAAAATAATTCAACCATATTTAATGGAAGAATTAAGGCTGCGACTGATTACATAAATCTGCAAAACAATGTAATAAGAAAAATAAAATGAAAAATTTTTAGCTAAAAATTTATTAAAAAAAAGATTTAAAAGTTTACTACAGTTAACAACTTGAGGAAAAACTAGTTATAATGAAACAACTAATAACAAAATAACTAATAATAAAAAAAATAAAAAAATAACTAAGCGTGCACCAAAAAAATTCTCAAGAATTAAAGAAGCGGAAACTAGTTTCACTTTCACAATCTTTGGGGGTGGAATTTTAGTGGGTAGAATGCCCTCTTGTTCAACGGAAATAACACAATATGACTCAGCTTAGAAAGTGAGAAGAAAATGCTAAAAGAAAGATATACCCCACCTCCTCTAATTGTCATTTCTACTTGGGCTGTTGAGGAGGAATTTAATCAGTTATTTTTAAAGGGGTTGGGGAAGAGAAAAGGGGATACTTCCTTATCTATTCGCTCCAATTACAATTACGCTAGGTGGATTTCTAGATTGCGATCTTTATTTAAGCTGGGGGTGGATGCAAGATGCATACCTTCTAAATTGGTCTCTTTATGCGATGTTTTTTTGAAATTATTATTTCGCTTAGTTATTTTCGGAAGTGTGATAAGAATTGGTGATTGTTCTGCAACAGAACGTGATATGGGTGAATATTTCGTCGACTTCGTTATCAATTTTTTTAAGTCCTTCTCTCAGAAAATTATTTTATCTTAAATAATTTTCTTTCATAAATGTTTTGCTACTAAAAATTATTTCGTCGGAAGCGCCGCATAGAGGAATAATACAACTTTTTTTTTTTAGATGACGTTTTTGCCTAAAAATACGTTGATTGCAAAATTAGATCAAAGGATTATACAAAATAGTTAAAATCATAATTAAAAATAAATAAAATTATTATATTTTTTGAGGGAAAACATATATACCTCTTTCAATGCTACCACTCCTACTAATCTACCAATTGCAGTAACATAGGCATGGTTGAGGCCCAACATTGAAAACAAGGAATGTACCTATTATAAAATTAACACATAGAATATAATATTTAATAAATAATTATATAAAGTAATATAATCATTACCAGTTTTATAAAAAGAAAACTAATTTTACTTTAATAAGTGAAGTTCGTTCAACTAATTGAAAGGGTGCTGGATCAATGTGGCATTTACTGAAATCTACAGGTGAGTTTAGTTGATCTTCTTCCCATGCTAATTGCTACAATAAAAATGTAAATAAATTGAATGTAACACAAAAATTTTCTAGATTTAATAACTTAGAAAATTTAAGAACAAAGTAATTGCAGTACAAAAAATTGAACTTACTTCTTCTTGAGACATATCAATTACTCTCTCTTTAGGCTGAAACAAATATTAAATATAAGTAAAATTAATTATAAAAGTCTTAATCACAATCAACCATCCAACCCTATATGCCTATTTAATACAAAAGTAGCTGTAAGATTGCTATATTGTTTAAACAATTAGATTTAGGTTAATCTAGATGCAAACTGCATTCAAAATAATATGCAATTCAAGTTTGTTTTAAAGGATATTAATAGGAAAATTATTTTGTTAAAGTTTTATTAAGCACAGTGAGCAAAAGAAAAGCGAATCACCCTATATAACTTGTGATTTAATAACTGGATTTTCATCTACTACGAGTTTGAGATGACCTCAAATAGCCTAATTAATTAATGCAGACTATATTTCAAATTACAAAATCAGACACAAAAAACATACTTTCTTTAAATAAACATATATTTTTGAAACATTTGTAATTTTGGCCCTTAAATTTACTGGTAACTGCAATCTAGGAAATATGAACCCAATAGTTTGGTCAGAAAAGCGGTCCAAAGTTTGAACCCCTTAATGTTAAATTTACTTTTTGCCTGTTTTGCAACATCTTAAGAATTTTTAAGCAAATCAAAAAAAATTTTAAACACAATTATGAAACCTGTTAATCCAATTATCCAAACCTGTTTATCCATTAATTTTTATATTATTACATTTAATAGTAGTTGCAAAATTTTGAATTATACAGTATACAAGTTTTTACATCATTTTAAAGACTAATTTTATAAGGCAAAATACAAAATCAGTAGAATAGTTCCTGAGAAATTGAATTTTAAAGAAGTATATTTAACCTCTGATTTGCCAGGAATTATTTAACCTCTTTGATTATTAAAACTTTAATTATTCAGTTTATTTTCTCTTTTTTTTGCACACTGTACATAAATAACTTCAGTTTTTATAAGCGAAAATTAGTCGTAATGCTTTAACATGCTAAATATCATAATTAACACCATTTATAGGTTTTATTTGTGAAATATTAGTATTTCATCAGTACTACTAAAATGTATTTGAAGAAGTGAATACAAATGGGAAAATTACTGGAGTAAAGTTTTAATTAGCTAATGCCCGGAAAAAAATTTTGTTCTTAAATAGATGCAAATAAGTAGATTTAAACAAATTTATGCTAGGCAAAAACAATTCTCAAGCTATAGCAAAGAAATAGACTGCGCAATAGTTTTATATAGATTACACAATAGTTTTTGATGAATTACTTTTTAGTCCAGATGGTTTAAGTGAAGAGAAATATTTACCATTAAGAAGCATAATGCAGTCATACGAATTAAAATTTCAACTTTGCATACTCTTTTCCCTTTTTTATAACAAAACTAAAATAGTAAAGAAGATACAAATCATACAATTTTAATAGAACATCAAGAATTTTAGCTTCAAGTTACAAATAATCTGTGGCATTTCCATTTTAAATAAAAATAAAAAATATGTAAAAAAAATCTGGATAGCACTTATTATGATTTGCAAAAAGACGACTTGTATAGAGATTCCAAACCACATAATATACTTAAACAAGTACTGAAATATTTGAAATGTCAATAGGCAACTAAAAATGGATTGCAATTTGGATGTTCAATTTATTTAATCAATGATTTAGCAAAAGTAAATAAAAGTTAAACTAAAATATAATTTCCTAGCTATTTAATAAAAAGAAAGAAAAAGCATAGAAAAGCATACAGGTTTTGATGACAAAGATTATCGAAAAATAGATTGATAAAATAATTTACAAACAATACTATCAAATAAAACATAACTATAAGAAAACACAATATATGTTACTAGTTAGTGCGACATTTACAAAGACAATCCACTATATAATTTTAAAAGCAAAACAGAAAATTTTGAAAGAATTAAAATGTGGTCAGTCATAAAGGTTAAATTAGAAAATTTAAAATGACAGAGCAATAGAAAAATATTTAAAAAAAAAAACATCTACAATGAAACAATAACATACCAATTGCACTCTTTTAGGAATATTGGGAGTGGGAGGGCCACTATTATCTGACTGAAAGAAAATGTTAAAGACAAATTGTAGAATAGGAAAAGTAAGAACAAATGGAAAACTTAATATGAGGAATGATTATTTAAACTTAGTTTTACAGTAAACTATTTCATATTAAAAAACTTTAAATGAACATATGCAAGTACAGGTAAGAAGTTACAGATTTTCTGAGTTTTGAGGCAAATGCGGATGTAAAAATTGCATAAAATTGTATGCATTTTGAAAAATAAACCCAATGCTTCCTTCTATGATGTGTTAACATACAATATATCTCCATCTGTAAACGTCTCATAATTTGAGTACTATTTCTTCTCGTTATGGTTATGCAAATGTGGTCAATTAAAAGAGTGCACATTGTAAAATATTTGACTCAAGAGTTTCTTTGTGCTGGGTTTAAAATCACAAGGATATTGGTGTGAGCAATTTTACTTAACCATCCAACCTTGCTAGGTTAAACTATCAACAGTGACCACATAAAACAGTCAAAATTGGTTTGTCTAATATCAAAGAAACTTAGATTTATTTGATATAAAATTTTCACTATTTTCAAAAATTAAATTAATATGCACGTTCTCTGTAGTTTACTTGTTAAGATTTAGTTCAGATAGTAAAGAAATAAAGACAAGCGATAATACCAGTAGGCTCTTAGGTGCATGATTATATATCTAATGATATAATTAGCTATGAATCTAGTTGCTATGGAATTCAGCTAGTATACACCGGTGGACATATATTGGTTTTGAAAGTTTCTGAATTTTAGTCTTAACAATTCTTAAAATTTCCCTAATTTTAACCTGGTTCTTAAAAACCTACTAATTATTTGAAAATTAAAACTTAAATTTAAAAATAGATTTTCTTCATATAAGAAAAAACTAGGTAGGGGAGAGGGAGGTAACATTGGGTAGTGGGGTAAAAGAACAGGGTTCCTACTCAATTTCGGAAAAAAAATCCCTCAACTTTTCCATTTATATAACATAAATTTCAATAAAAATCCATTCATATTTTATCTATACCATGCAATTTTTCATGAGAAAACTTTTTTTTCTCTTTGTAATGTCAAATATTAGATTTTGTGAGCAAAAATATACAATAGAATGGAGATGTGGAAAAGTTTCACTAAAAAGATTTTATAAGACAATTGTAATAGATGTTAGAACTATTTAACTCGAATTTCAAAAACTTATTACTGTTACTGATAATTCTGGAAATGGTTATTTTCTAGGTATGATATAGGAATTTTCTGAGGAAATTAAAAGAAATATTTTTAGCCTAGCTAATTATATGTTGCTAAGGATTTAGACTGGTAGAAGCATGGTTCTGTTTTGTTTGCATAACCACTGCTGTTTGGGTAAGACCGGATACAACCATCACCACATAAAGCTGAATTAGGATAACAATGTAAAAAAATAACATTTAAAGAAATGTGCTATGAAAAAAGGGAAATTTGTTTTCAGTAACAAAGAAAAGGAAAAACCCTGAAACACAATGACCTAAAAAAAGAGCCTATAAAAAACTGTTTAATAAAAAACAAATCCTTGATTGATGACCAATAAAGATGATAAAACCATCAGATGCTGCTTGTTTACATTGTACTGGTGTATTTTCTAAATCAAAAAAGGGGAATGGTGGATTCAATGAGGAAAGTGTTTTTGCTGGGTCCACGAAACCTGAAGTAAACTTGAGGAAGATAATTGCATCAAATGTAAATTTTGCATATAATAATTGTAAATTGTCTATATTCATACAATATACTCATAGTTGTAATACTTAGAATACATAGTTGGATTCTGTTATGCATTTTGGACTCTCAGTGAGACAAATGCTTATGAATCTATTGTTAAATAAAATGTTAGACACCAGTAAAAAAACTAAAGTCCACTAAAACCTATAGTAATCTTTCAGGCATTACAAGGGACAAATGATAAACATATATTCCAGAAAAGCATTCCTCAGTAATAATTTTTTAAAAGAAAAAAATAGAGTGCTCATTACATTAATTAACCCACTTCATATTATATACCTTAACCTGCATACCAATCATCATTTTGTGCCTTCAGCCCTTCCCTCTCCTCCTCTTTTCAGTTGCATAGGAATGTACTACGATATTTTCCCTTTTCCTAATATTTTTCCTTTTAATTTAATAAAAATAATCTTCAAAATTTGCGTGATACTTTTCTTTAGAACTATGTTTAATGTAGTTTGCAGTTCCATATAGTTTACCAAATTAAACGATTTTAATCTGTATGAAAATCAAGAGAGAAACTAACATATTCCTTCCTCTATGACTTTCCACATGCTAATGGGGAAAGCATGCGAAGTGTTGCCATAGGTAAAGAGTTCTGCTCTATGCCACCTGCAGCCCATATCGATCGCCAATGGAGAAATTAAAGTTACAAATTTTGATTAAATTCATATTGTTACAAAATGAATTTAGTCAATTAAACTAAAAAAAGGGAAAAAAACATAGATCAAATGGAAAAATCATGTAAAAAATATCCCTACAAGTAATCATTTCATATATGTATTTTTTTTAAGTTGGCCTAGTTGTTGTCTTTCCATTGATCACAAAAGAAATAAGAAAATGCTTACTTTGGTATTTTATATCAGGCATTTTATTTTTTCTCAATTAAAATCTTAAAACTTTTAAATAACTTTAAAATTAATAAACTAACAACCTAAACAAAAAAATTATTAAAAAGTGCATAAATATGTTTAATATATACTTCTATTTATTTGATGAATTGTACTACAACACTGATTGTACTACATTTGGAAATAGCTTGTTTATATCTGGCCAAGTGCAAAAACTCACTTAAGCAACTACAAAAATCTCAACTATAATACAAGCAAACATTTTATTATTAATTCTCAAAGCATTTAAACAAGATTATATGTTTACCTTTTCACTTGGATTGGCATCTTGTAGAGTAAGTGCTTTCCTAAATATGGCTTCGAAAGCAGCACGTAACCTAGAATCTAACATTAAAATATAATAGATAAATCAGATAAAATAGACATATATTTTAAAGGGTACCCGAGGGTACATAAAAATTGAATGCATAAAATATTGTCATTTTATTTTATAAAATGTTAAAATATTGTTACAAATATTAAATAGATATTTTTTTATTCTTCTATAAGTTACTAAAGCAATATGGCTAACATTAATGGAGTATATAATAAATGGAATAATCATTTTCTTAAAGAAGAACAAAAATACTGCTCACAAAAGCATAATTAAACAGTTTTAAAAGCAAAACATATTTAATGTATATTTTCTATACAAAATTTAGAACTTTCTTAACTAAATATAAAAGAATGAAAATTACAACATAGAAAACACAGACCCTTATAAATCTACATGAGAGAATGCAAAATAACCATTCATCACTTGTTATCTTGCATAAACAATGCAATTAATATAACTTTTTTCACATTAAAGACATTAACAATAATATTTTTTTATGCAGTAAAAATGATGAGTACACAAATGAAAGAGATATTTACAACAATATATCGTAGCCATCTCCTAAGTGATGTTATGTAACATTATGAAAAATGTTGAACAAAAAACCATCTTTAGTTTTAATTCATTCCAACTAAAAGTGAAAATAGGTCAAATGTACAGAAATCATTATACTATGAGACCATGTATGCAAAGCTAATAATGGAAGTTAAAAATACTTGAATGATAATAAATTCTAAAAAATTCATTATGAATTTACTCAAGTACATAAATTTATGTACCTATTTCCAATAGTTCTAATTCATTTGTCTGGTTAATTTTATTTGTATTTGACTGATTAGGTTGGAATAATCCTATTTTAATAGCACACAGCAAATATTAAAAAAAAACTACTTCAGATAACATGATTGCTTTTAAATAAATTGAGAATAAACTTATTAGAAATGAAAATAAATGCAATTACCATGAGCTATACTTGAAGTAATAGTAGAATATGGAGAATGCATAGGAGAATGTTTGAGGATTGACTTCTTAGGAGATGTTGGAGTCATAGGAGGAGATGGAGGGGGAGAGCCTCGAGATGAAGACTGCAATTGAAAAATTAATTAAATAAGAATGCATCAAACATAAGAAATTCAGATCACAAACAAACCCTGGATGCAGACTGTAAATGAACTATATCAAAATAAAAATAATGTGATGATAAAACAGCAATACAAGAGGGAGCAATATTTATTAAATAAACTTTTTATTAAATTTCTTATCTTACACTTTCTTGTAAATATACGAAACAATTATTCAGGTTAGTGCCAACATTAAGGGCAAGGAAAATTTGTGCATGGACTAACCTGATAATCTCTACAAGTATTTTAGAGGATGACCACATCGAATTTAATGATATCAATGATAATACTAATTTAATTTGAAACAAATCAAATAAGTTTAATTTCAAGATTGTAAAGCTCAAAAAGTAAATATACTTAACGATTAAAGCACTTAATAATTTTTATGATGCATTTAAATGGTTAGACTTTCGTGTATGTTTAAAAAAATGTCAGAATTTCGTGCATGTTAACCCTTTTGAGCCGACTGTCACATATATGTGCCAGCAAGAAACGCGCTCACTTCCCGGCCGGCACACCCGTGTGTCAGAGAGTTTTCTCGTTCACCCCCGACCGTCACTTATTTGTGCCAGCGTTTCGGAACGTTTTAAAAAATGAAATTTCTTCCAAAAGATGGCATTGTATGTCCATATGGTTTCAGATACATGTAGATTTGACCTTCTACTCAAGATGAAAGTACATTCACGTGGTTTTTAGGGGAAGGAGTGGAGGGGGGGAATGTTTTATGAGGGCTCTTTAAATTAGCACGTGATATTTATTTACAGTAAGTAAGGGAGTTTTTTTTTTCTCTCGCTACTTTCGATTTTCGGATTAGTTTTTAGTGGATAATTAGATCTTGTAGGCTTGAATTTTTTTTCTTTTTACCGTTAGAATGTCGAAGCGTCGAAAATTTTTAACTGAGCTGGAAATAGAGGAAATTATGCAAAATATTTAAACTTATTAATATTTATATTACATTTAAACAAGAAATAACTTAAGTAAATAAAGTATCCATAGAAATATATATAAAGCATATGTCACTTAAATACTCTACAGAACAATATTAAACAACGCGCTGATATTTCGGTAATTTCATGGAATTAGGCTTAACATCAAAAAACCCTCTGGCCCTGGGGAGACAACCGCTAGAGAGACTGCCGGCCTCAGCGGTAAGCGCACTTTGCGTCGCGAAAGGGTTAAAGCTTATTTCAAGATTGTAAAGCTCAAAAAGTAAATATACTTAACAATTAAAGTACTTAATAATTTTTATGATGCTTTTAAATGGTTAGACTTTTGTGTATGTTTAAAAAAAAGTTACCAACAGTATTTTCACAACAGATATCAATATTTTTGTCAAAAAGCAAGACAGCTATTCAGTTTTAAGATGTTTTAAATAACGTGACGTAAAACAAAATAGAAAGAAACATGTAAATTAGGAACATTTATATACAAACAAGTATTTATAAGGAGTAACTCACATTCAGCCCCACTGAAGTAAGAAGAAAATTCGAAAAAAGGAGGGAAAAAATTACAATTATTAAAAAAGAAAGAAAATGTATCACTGAAATAAAGCTACTCCTATTAATAGCCAATACATACGTCATACTAATACATGATTTGAAATAAGCAATACTCTGAGCCATTTACTAATCCTTGGAGGACAGTAACACCATTATCCAAGCATTTAATAATGAGTGTCTTTAACTTGGTCCCAAACAGAAATGTTCAGCCATTGGCATATACAGCTCAACTGGGTTTCACCCTCATGTTTTTGCAGAGAATTGAGATCAGGAGAAAGGGTAGGCTATTCCAAGACTTGCAATTTATTGTCACTAAACCGTGAAGATTTTGCATTGAAATAAAGCTGTTTCAATGCTGGAAAATTCAACTTGGTCAACTAGTCACTTTGTAAATGACAGTAAATGGATTTTAAAAATTTTTTGATAATCAGTAGATTTTAGATGGTTGTTTACCCAGGCCATATGAAGTTTACCATTATAGCCATCATCGTGTCTCCCCTTGTTGTTTATTTAAGATTTCTTCTTTTCCCCCCCTTTTTGGTTTTTAAAATCTGAAAAGCAAGCACCAATATAAAAGAATCAAACTTGATTCCGTATTGAAGTAATTCTCAAGAATATAAGAATAGAAAAGAATTTGGACAGCACAGAAAATTGAGATTTTATTGCATGGCATGATATAACAAAAAAAATTGTGAGAAAACTTTGGCTATAGAGGTAAACTTAACCCAGTTTTTTCTCAAGCCCCCGTGGAGACTTTAGATTGTAACAAAATGCTAGAAATCTATTTATTGCCAAAGTGCCATTTACACAGAAAACTGGTGGCCCAAGTTTGTTTTTCTAGCAGGACAATACCTCCTATTCATGTAGCAACATCTTCAAGGAGATGGCTTTTAAATATGAGGTTGCATGTTACAGAATAGCCTGCCTTTTCTTCTGATCTCTATCTGCAAGAAAGTGTGATAGGGTATCCTTACAAGGGCTGTTTGTGGAAAAAACCAATTTCAGTCTGTGGCAACAATGAAAGCTGTTATTATTGCAACTTGCGATAGTGTCCTCCGGTGATTAGTAAGTGATATGCATTATCCTATACCTCAAAGAGACAACGTGGTGGATATATTGGTTATTATTAGTAGTAGCTTTATTTTAGCAGGACACTTTTGCCTCTTTGCATAAAATTTTTTTCCTGCTGGGCAGAAAATGAGTTGTATATCTGTATTTATATATAGACTTTCTTAATAAGTTCTCATTGTTTTTCTTTGTGTTCAATTAGGAAACAAAGCTAAGGTGGTTGTTTTTCAGTAGAGCACATTTGATGAATTATGTATTTCTCTTAATCCTTTAAATGCTTAATTCCACAAAAGTAGAACAGTTGAAAATAAGAATGTTGCTTTTTGAAAGAATTTAATTATTACTATTTAATTTAAAATAGACATGTTATTAAAAGACCATTTTTAAATAAATTAAATAGCTAATTTTAGCTTTCGTTAAAAAAAATCAGATAAAAAACTACTAATGGGAGGAAATAGTCAGTTAAGTCATCTGTGAGTTTAACTCTTCCAAGAATTTATCATACAAGGGCATAAATTCCATTATTGAATGAATATCAAAAGTTAAAATTTATTGATGAAAAACAATACTATAGTAATTTGAATGGAGAGTTAGTTAATTTTCTTTTATTATAAGTACCCTAGAAAAACTTGCAACTGGAATGACTTCAAATCTTGACATTCTTCTCTGTTGTTCTTGAGCAGCTTTGTAAGTTCCTTCATCAACAGACTGCCGTCTTGCAACTTCTTGCAATCTGCGCTCACGTCCTAAATGACGTTCCAATAAACGCATAAGTTCCATCCTTTGAACAGATCCCAATAAAATCATTGATTCTGAAATCATAAATTAAAAGTAAAAAACTATTAAGAATTTTTTCATGAACTGCAAATATTTTTAGAAAGGTCACATTCGTACAAAATGAAACTGATTCAATCTTAAAAATAAATTCAGGTTTTTAAAAATTGCCTCATTTTACAGAATATATCAATTTTTATATTTTACTCCATTGTAATTTAAAATTAAACACAATGCATACATGATTTATTAAAGAAGTTCAATAGCATAGCAATATACAATCCAATAAATAAAATGCAAATTTCCTTCAAAATTGAGCTTGCTTTCAATATTTTTCTTTAATTTCTGTAAAGAAAAAATAAAATTTAAATGAAATTCAAATAAATTTTTGAAAAATCTCTGTCGAAAAAGACTGAAAAATTTAATTTTAGCACGAAGTAAAATTAATACAAAATTTCAAAGCTCTAGTTTGAAAAGTTGTTCTTTCAGCTGGTCATATTATTTACAGCAACATATAAAAATTTGGTTAAACAGTAGGAAAAAATATAGCCTGTAGTGAAATAGCAATACTTACTGAGCTTAAATATTTTTTTATGATCGTAACATCTCAAAGGAAATATTTTGGAAGCTTGGTGTGTTTCATGAATTTATAATGTAATGTATGACGAGAATTGGAATCCCATATATTCCACCAAATATAAGTAAGATTACATTCTCAAAGTAAAGAAAATAAGCAATGTTAAAAACTAATGGACATTTTTAACATGTTTTTAAACTTACACAATACATTTCAAGAGCCTACATTTTAGAAAAATATGAAGAAATTTGTTTTAAAGGTGTTCTTTAGAAGCATAATAAATTAAAAAAACATTTAAGTGAAGAAAAAAGATCAAATACCTGAAGACTCTACTAAAGGGAATGACTGGAGTCTCTTGTTTCCTTTCAAAATAGCTTTTATTTCTCTATAAGTAGCACCTTGCCAAACATAAATAATTTCACGCACCATGATGTCATCAACGTAAACATTATGTGCCCTACATAGATGAAAAATAAGGATAATAAAGAAATAATAAATTTACACCAGGTTTCATTTGAAATAAACTAAGTACGTCAAATACTAAATGTGTTTTATTTGGTCTAGAAATAATGTCATGAGTAGACACCAATTTTTGTGCATCAGATGGTATAAGAAAGTATTAAGACTCATGAACGATATAAACACACCACTATTGTGGGAACTCCTGTCAATCAACTTTGAGGTGACTTTCAAGGCTGACGCATGAACACTGATTTTTCGCACGACTTTAATTTTTATTGTGAATTGCAGATTTTGTATGTTATTTGGTTTCTCCACCTCAAGTAAAGAGATAGTTCAAAATCCAATATGGCCTTCTGAGCAACGAATCTTGTACCAATAATAAAAATTTTAAAGATGTTAAGATTTCTAAACTAGAAGACTATTTGATGTCAAACGAAGGTCATTTATTTACCATTATATCTGTCTGTATATTTAAAGTATAATTTTACAAAGCTATAAAGATCTCATATTTGGTATGATTATGATGTCTCTGACTTGCTCTTTGAGACACAATCTCACAAGTTCCAAATTTATTTATTTCTTCTTTTTTTCATTAAATTAAATTTAACTTGCTTTTATCCAGTATATTCCGTTCAGCAAATTAACAAGTTTTTCTAATTCAGAGTAATATCCATAATCAAAGTCTATTTTAGAGTAATCAAAGAAGACAATTATTGATGATTTTACTGTTCTTTTAGAGGATAGTTTATATCCCTTACACATTTTTATTAAAAAATAGTAAATTTTTTTTTTCGTGGTTCGAATAATACTTAACTCACAATATTGATTAAAAGCAAGTGGTAATGAATTTTCTTCTCAATTAACAACAGAAATGTAAATAAGCCAAACAAGACAAAATAATTTGCTATACAGACAAGAATATTAATGAAAGGAACAATAATATAAGCAAAAAATAAATCTTTTTATTTACTGTGAATTATAAAAATAAAAGAAGCTCACAATAATAATATTCTCAATCACATTGAAATAACTAGCACTTTATTACTAATTTGAAATACAATAACAGTAAAAAATAGTCTAATAGGTAGCATGACTAACTTGAAATAAAGGGATAATGGGTTTCAAATCAGCAAGCGTAGATTTGGTTTTTACTTGCATGTCGACCAATTCCTTTTTTTTAAAAATATGTATAAAGAATTGCTAATCATGCTAAATTAAAAAAAAAAATGGTAGTAAAATAACATTTAAAAGGATAAAAACACTTGCAAGTTTAGACAAGGAAAACAAGTTTAAAAAATGCAAAATTCGGGGGGTGGGGGGACGATGAAAGGAAAATTTATTAATCAAAATAAAAACAACACTTAAAAAGTATTGAACTGAAACGATATTTAAAAAAGGCACTAACATAAAATTAATCCCTGGAACAAGGCAGGATATTATAGGATCAACGGAATGAAAAAAAATTATAATGATAAATTTCATTTTCAATTTCAATAAAAATCAATAAAAGAATTAATTTATTGAGTATGAAATTCATCTTAAAAAGAAATAGACTGAAACACAGCGGAATCAGAAAAACAGAATCAAAATAAAAAAAAGAAAACTGCTATTTGCTGCATAAAATAATCGTCTGCTTTTATTAACAAATAATTATATGCTTAAATTAATAAACAATCTTTCCCCTTTATTTTTTATAAAAAGACTATTTTTAATGAAAACAGATGTGATTCCACATCAAGAAAAACTTGCTAATGATACAGCATTTCTAAAAAATCAGAATTTATTCAAAAAAATATATACAGTGGAGCATCGTTTATACGACGATCACTTATACGACGTTTACATTTATACGACGTTTTAGTGTGGTCCCAAATCATTCCCATTCATTTTAATGTAAAAATATATCGTTTATACGACGCACAGAATCGGTTATACGTCGATTTTTAGATTTTGTTCTTTATTTAATTTTTTATTTTTTCTTGTGTATTTTAAAAAAGGGCGGAATTTGCCAACATGAATGATACAGAAAAGGGTGTCAACAAGAATGCTTGGATGACGACCGTAATTTTTACTAGATGACTGAAAAAACTAGACAATGTTATGAAGAGGAAAAAACGAAAAATTTTGCTATTCATCGACCAATGTCCAGCGCACCCATCGATACTAATTATTTTGGAAAATGTAAAAGCTCTCTTTTTTCCTGCAAATTGCACAAGTGCGCTTCAGCCATTAGATTTGGCCGTGATTAGAAATTTAAAATTGCATCATAGAAAGCAGTAACTTCAACTCGCTATTCAAAGCATTGTAGAGAATAATAGCAAGAAAATATAATTAAAGGTAACATACATTCAAATGGCTCACTGCAATTTTTCTCCTTTGGTTATTTGTTTGTTTTGCTTTGTCTAATTTAGAAATTTATGTAAATCAACACGTTAAACATTAAAATTAACTGAAAACAGAGTTAGTTTCAGTTTTAGAAGTAAAAATCGATTATACGACGTTATCGTTTATACGACGTTTTTCGGTGGTCCCTTCGGCGTCGTATAAACGATGCTCCACTGTATATTGTTTTGTTAATCAATGTCAAATAGATTAATATAACTGGTGATTAAAAAATGTTTTGTTAGTAATAAATAATGCATTATCTGAAATAATAAAACAATTCATCATAATAAATCAAGGATAACAAAAACTGAGTAACTAAAGTGGATTTAAAATAAATCTCACATGTCAATACTCTTAGCCAGAAGTTCCAAGTTCCTTAACTCAGACATTCATTCATATGCATGTGCAACGCATTTTCCCCACCCCCTCGCAAATCAAAGAGAAAACAATATGAGCATGCCACTCTTTTAAGTTTGATTGGTACAGCTTATCAGAAACACAACTGACACACAGGAGAAAATAAAACATTTGTCCCTTCCCTGCCCCCTCTCGATCTAATTATCTTCAAGGTCAGGGGAAGAATTGAAGTTTCTCTGGGCAAATAAGGAGAATTCCTCCCCTTTCCCTTTACTCAACTTCAAGGACGAGTCAAATTTCCGCCTTTTTCTTACAATCGCTATACTTCAAAACAGCAGGAAAACCAAGGAAAATTCTTCCCGGTTTTCTGGATACCGGATAATATGTTCTCTACTGTAGTTCCCTTATTATGAAATTCCTACGAGCTCGAAAGTTCAAAGTTGGAAATATGCGATTTTAGATTTTAACTAACATTTATGTTATAAACAATTAAGGTTTATAACATATGTTAATTCATATGTTAATCAATTATTCTCAATAATTTTGTTTTTCATCAACAGAAGAATCTATCACTTAACAAATTTATATGCATAATATTTAGATTAATAACAATTAGTAACAATCTTTCATTCCAAATACTGTGTATTAAAGATTAAAATCATTTTAAAAGATGGTCAATCAATTGCAAATAAGAAACTAATGGCACTTCTAAAAATTGTCTGAAAATTCTTTGTCAAAGAAATTCTAGCATTTCGTGAAGTGGCTAATATCATTTGAAACAGAAAAGGTGAAAAGTTTGTAATGAGATTTTAAAACTTAATTTATAATAAGCTTAAACAAGAATTGCAAGAAATTAGTTATTTTATAAAAATTTTCAAGCTTCATTGAGAGCAAAGTTAATACTAAAAGCAGATTCAACAAAAAATGATAAAATTTATTTTTATAGTAAATAACAACAGTATATTTATTTGATTTCAAACTGAATTGGAAATCAAACTAGTTTGTAATATGACAAAAATTTTAATAATTTTAAAATGCTTTATTTTAATATTCTTTTTCATTTACATTAAGTTTAGTTTAAATTGAAGAATATAACTTACTGAGAAGAAGTTGAAATAATTGAAGGCAAATATGGCAGTTTTTTTATTTGTATTATACTATCATATATTGAAGGCTGAAGTGATTGAGCAATGGCATTAGCAATTAAAACAGCAATCTGAAAAGTAACAAAATCTATCACTATTTGTTACAAAAAAGTTAGTTTCAATTTCAAAATGTAAAAATTTTATTCATAAATTATATTTTGAGCAAAAATAAAAGTTCAGAGAGAATAATAAAACTCATAAAAATATGCTATACATCATTTTCAGTATATGCAATTATTGTAAGAAAACTATCAATTCCCAATATATTAAACACATACTTCTGAATGATAAATATTGAAAAACAGATTAACTTACAATGAAACTATGATTAATTTAAAATCTATTAAGCCATAGGTATGAACTTGTTTGATTTTAAGAGGGTTGCTACTTAAAATAAAAGAATTGATAGTAGCATAAAATTCCCTGTTTTTAGCAGGCTTTCCAGATATAATTTTAAAATAATTCCTGTCTAATATTGCAATACGTACTGGCAATGCAGTGGTCAAAATATACAGCGAACCACAAAAATATTTTTAATTTGAACATAATATTGTATATTTAATTTAAAAAATATATAACACTACATCTATGTAGAAATTTGTCATCGAAAATTTTATTTCTTTGAAATATCTGGAAAAAGAAATTAGGTTTTCACAAAACAAAATTTTAATAGTGTATCAATAGAAATTAATGTAGAAATTTATATCTTCACAAAACAAAAGTATATGTATTCTGAAAATGTTTATTGTTAAAATTTTTTGTCTTTTTTATTGTTACAAATTAATAGAATAAATGTTATAATTAATAGTAATTAAGCCCAATTGAAAGTAAAATGATCAATGAAACAAAAAATAAGCTTGATCATCTTCAAATCTTGCTGGCAGGGAATATAGTAAAAAGTAAATTACACTAAAACAGAAAACTAGTACACTGTGTTAGAAAAAAAAGCGTGATTTATTTTACTCTCCATTATAAAATAAATTATAAATTAGAGATATAAACATAATTGAGAGTGAAAACAAGATGGTAAAATAGTACAGGGAAAAAAGCATAAATTATGTAACTATCTTCTATTATGTTTAAATATAATAACAAAAAATAAAAAAGGATTAAAAGAAGCTCGTAATATCTGTCCATTTATTATAAAAAAATTTCGGAACAGATATCAGGGGACGATCAAGGTGGAAATTGGGGCTATTTAGTCGCCTCTCTACAATGTTCAAATTTTTTTAAAAAAAAAGGCTCTTTGCAAAATTCAAATTTTAAAAACAGCCCATTTACAAAATTTTAATTTGTAAAAACAGCCTCTTCACAAAATTTCACTTTATTAAAATTATTGTACAAAATTATTTCATGGAGGATTCTCGGGAAAACAACCAAAAACTACGTTATTTTAAGACAGCATCATCACAAATTAAAGGACTCAAAACTTAATTTCAGAATATGGATACCAGTATCTATATTGGTTTTATATTCATCAATAACTTAGACACTGAAGTGCCCATGTCTAATTTTTCTAAGTACTTCCACTTTATTTTTAATTGATAAAGAAATACTTTTTTTCTGACTGACGTGAAGGCATCGTAGGAAAAACAGAAGCAAATCAGCAAAGATAACTTAATAAAAGAAATTTAACACAAATAATAATAACTCAATTAAAACTTTACAAAAATTATATAGTTAAAAACTTAAAAAAATAATATGTTTTAAATGATTTTTATTGTAAACCAATTATTTGTTTGCATAATTAATGACAATTTTTAACATTAAATTTTAACTGCAGAAGAAATATGTAGCAGCATTGAGTTTTTTCATAAATCATTAAGTTAAATGTCACTTTTCTGAGAAACTGCTAGATATTTTTTTTAAAAATATTTTTTATTTGAATTCTCTACTCCTCAAAAATACTTTAACAAAAAGTTATATTTTTAAAACCCAAAATTTATGTGTTTTTTTTTAAACAAAATATTGATTTTAAAATTAATTTTAAAAAAACTGACAATTAAAACATACTATGTCAACTTGTGTCCTACAATGAGAAACACAAAAAATTGTATTGAAAATTGCTATTTTTCCAGAAAAATCACCCAAGTTAACAATTTTGCGTATGAGCTAGAAATGAAAATTAATGTCTTATCTATCCACAAATATTTCATTAAAACAAATTAGTTTAATCAGAAAAACAGCTTAAGTGGTTAGCAACTAGTTTTAAAATTTTTTGGTTGTAAAATGAGTAAATAATTGGATAATTTAGATCTACAATGTGCATTTAAAAACTTAAAGAAACATTTAGTCTGGAAGATTAGTAAAAGCTAACGTTTTGATGAATAAAACAATTCAAAAGTCAGAGCTCATTCTAGGCAGGGTAAACAGGGCGCAGCACCCTGTTGCCCTTTTTGTCAAAAGAATTCACCCTGTTGCCCCTCAAGTAAAATAGTGCCCTGATGTAATAGACTCCATACCCTTTTTGCCCTTTCTTTCCTCAACCCTTCTTTATTTCCCTCCCAAACTCTACAATGGATTTCTTAAACTTTTGTTATTTTCAACTCTTTTTATTTAGTTTGTTGTTGATGCCAATACATAGATTAATATGGGAAAGGTAAAATAGCCATCACACCCCCTTGTTGAACTTGTCTTTGAAAGTTTGCAGTTACTTCCACTATCATTAAATCATAATTATTATTAATCATTTTAATTATTAAATCATAACTACAGACACTTAAAAACATACATTTATTATTTTAACAATATATGCATGCATTTTAAATAAACTACTAAGCTAATTAGTTCATTAACTCGGTATACATGTTAATTTATTAATAAAATTTAGTAATTAATATGATTGCTTTCCTTGCGACTTTTTTTAAAGTAAAAAAAAAAATCTTTTACTAATTGACAACGTTTTTTAATAGAATGTGTAAGACCCATCGAAAGAAATTATTGCCTTTTTAGAATAATAATGCCCTTTTTTTAAACTTTTGCACCCTGCCCTTTTTTCTGCCTAGAATGAGCTCTGCAAAAGTGTGTCACTCTACATTTTATGGGTTATTATAATGAAGGTCAATTTTAATAAAAATATAGCAACAAAATATTCTAAAATAGCTTAAAAATTATCTTACTATCACAGGCAAAATATGAGACATTTGGCCAGTCAACTCAAACACAATAACAGACGTTGATACAGTATGAGTGGCACTCCCAGATAAAGCTGCTGCTCCTAAAATATGTGAATTCATAGACAAATTCTTAAAATATATACATTTATAACATACATAATGGACACATAATGAAATAACTCAGTAGGTTAAATTTCAGTAGACATTTTGTTTAATATAGCATGTGGAGGAAAAAATTAGGTGTTCGGGAACCCTAAATCCGTTTTACCAAAATGCATGTATAATCTTAAAATTATCCAAAGTAGAGAAATATCACTCTTTCATTATTCAGAAAGTTAATTGCTTAATAAAAATAAAAAATAATTTTTTATTTGTATCCATTATTTATAAGTGATGTATTTTAAATAAGTTGTGTAAATTTTCATCATGACAACTTGCATCATAAAATTAAACTGTAGCAGACAAAAAAAATATTTTTATCAAATTGCATAAAAATCATTGTTTGTGGAAATAAACTGATCAGCGGTGCAAAAGTATCTCAGATTTGTTAAAAAAAATCTCGAGTAAAAAAAATTGTTCTTCAGTTTTATTTGAGTTAAACTTATTAATGTTTAAATTGACTGCAAGGAAACACTTTGAGTACCATTGCAACTTTAATACCTAAAGCAAATAAAAATATCTGGTAAGTTTCTCTGACTGAAGTTTTCAAAACTTCATTTCCAAGGGAAAGATATAAAAAATTCTTTTTTGAAACAATTTTTGAAGATTTCTTTAAAATTGTATCAGCTATATTATTTTCGTACATATATTTTCTTTTTATGATTACTTCTGTTAATAATCATTCACTAAAATTTTAAAACAAGTTTAAATTTATATTTTATAATTAAATACCTACTCAAATTCTGTGTATACTCATTGTTTTAAAGGTTATCTGGAAATTTCTTTTCTAAAGCAGGCAGTACAGTGTAACGCCCCATATCCGGACGCCCCTTTCCCGGACACTTTTTAACAATCAAAATAAACAAACATCTCTCCATCTTCCCCTTTCCTTAAAAAAAAAAAGGTTTTTTGACACATTTTTTTTCTAGCTTGCACTGAACCTCTGATTTATGCATCAAACCCATAAATCACCAGAAAGGGGAAGTGAAGATCTACCAAGACCATTGAGTGACCATTAGTGACACTCCTCCGTTGGAATGTAGGAAAAAGACGGAGATTTGTTTTCAAAAGACCGCAACTGAGTCCCCTCCCCTCCTTTCTCATGCAGGTGGCTAGTAAAAGAGGCATTTCCTGGAACCTTTTTATTGAAAGAAGAAATACTGTGGAAAAGGGTAAACAGGGCAAGCGTTAAGGTGGAGTAAAAATGGAAAATTTGAATAAGTCTAAAAGGATACATGTCCTTGAGAAACAAAACATTCGTTCTTCCCCATAGGATGTAATATTTAGGATGCGGGGGGAAAAAGGGGGTAACATTCTTTCTTTAGCAGATTCTTTCAGTCATAGAAGAAAAAAAAAAGAGAACCAGATCATGGTGCCCCACCTTTATGCTTGATTGATAGCCAATGATTGGAGGAAAAACGATAATTTGTTACTTCCCCACCCTCAACTTAAATGATCTCCTCTTTACACTTATTTTCTTTCACAAATAAGGAGGAAATGAATTTCTCTCCTCCACCTACCCACCTTATTGAATGGCGGGAATTTCCCTTTCTTGCTTGAATCATTCTAGTTAAAAATGGTGGATCATTATTTTCATGTCAATTTTTTTTCGTTTTCTATATTTTAAGCAATAATATTTTTTTTCTAATATTTCATATTGTATTGATTAGATATTCTAATACTAAAACATTATTCCCCTTAAAAATAATGTTTATTTATTTTTTGCTTCTCAGATTCAGATCGTTTATTAAATCATTTTAAGCTTTGTTTACCTTGGGAGTCTATTATACGGAAAAATCTATTATACGGACTTCTGGAAGTCCCACCGATTCCGGATACGCGACTTTACACTGTATATATATACATAATGCAATTTCGTGGAGAAACACTGCCCTGGTATATACACCCTGCCATCAAATATTGGCTAAAAAGGTTTTTTGCTGCACCATACACTGCGCCAAATTTTACTATACTAACGCAGATATTGATTACAGACTTAACACATGTTCTAAATACGCATAAATGTAATTTATAGTTAAATAAAAACCAATAAAAGGATATATAATATGCAAAAAATAGAAACAATCCTACTATATAAAATGGATTTCAATAACTTTTAAGTAAATATCAAGCATTTTCTCATTTTAATTAGAAGTAACCATTAAAATATGAATCAGATAATTAATATAACAAAAATCATAAAATAAGCATTAAAATTGCTAAAAATAAAACGATCTTACTTTTAAATCATCATTAAATGATAAATTAAAAAGAATATTTTTCAAAGAAAAACTCAAGAATAATTTATTTAGATATCACATATCATTATACATACATATCACTGAGCTTAAAAAAGCCTTCAAAATCAGAGCCCTCTGTATCAGAGCAAAATAAGTTTATCAGTTCATTGTTATATATCATATACCCTATCACAACACTTTCAGCATCATTTTGTCACGGGATGATTTTTGCTTTTTTGAAACTATTTATCACAGTTCCTTTTTTAACAGCTTTCCAAGCTTGGGACATCCATGCGGTGACCTCCTCATAACTTGTTCGGCGCATGCGTCTGGATTTAGTGTAGGAGTGGATTCCGAGCTTTGTTCAGTACTCCTACAGCCGCCTCACTTCTTGCTTGAAAACCCCATTGACAGTCAGGTCAAGAGGTTGAAGTATTTTCGTTAGGCTGCCGGGGATGACAGCAAGTTCCATGCATAATTTTTTTTCTCACAAATCTTTAATAGATTTAACTTTATGGGAGCACAATGAGTCGAGGATTAATAATGGTTGGAAAAAAGCACCTTCACACTTTTGATACATCAAATTCAGTCACTGCAGCATTGTATCCTGGTACATCCCCTTTCATTTTCACTACTTACTATATCTTTAGGAAAATCACCTTATGGTATAGTTTTCCACTTGAAGATTAGCAACGGGGTAAGCTTCTCCCTCATTACAGAACATCCTAATTCACAGCTAAAGGATATTTTTCATGACCTGTGGTCACTATGGCCAAGGATTTTCCCCCCGTTTCTTCTACAGTCCTGCTGGGAGGGCAGTCAAAGGAAAGCGAAACCTCATCCATGTTTATTAATTGAACGTGATTCAGTCCACGTTCTTCCATTTTTTAGTGACGAAAGTTTAAAAATAATCCTTTTTTTCTGTCCAATCAGTATGCAATTTTTGCCCTACTGTGGTTTTTGGCGCACAGACAAGTTCTTTCACTTCATAAATCTGAAACACACAACCTTTGAAATCCAGCATACCTATCTGGCTGGCAATCAATTTCGCTTGTATGCGAATTCGGACTGTAGAAAGGGACAACCCTTTGGCCCTCAGCTCTTTAATACAGGCTGCCAGGTTATCCTCCAGCACTGGCCTCTTAACAGTGCCATTACGCCGAGCGCGCTAAGTCTTGGGTTAGTTGAGACAATATTTCCTTTTTCTACTTTCACCTCCAGATGCACTGTTCATCAACATTGAATTTTTGAGTAGCACCCTGATTTCTTCAGCTCTTTTAATTGCTAAGAGCTTACGTATAACTTTTCCTCTTAAAGGGAGGCATTTGAAATTTATAATTTAAAAACAAGTTATATTGAAATTTAAATTTAAAAAAAAAAAAAAAAAACATAAATATTAACGAAAGAAGAATATTAAGGAAACAAAAATATTAACAAAACAACTCTTCACTGACCTTCAGTTGAAAGTTTGAAATTCTTCTTGAACATTTTAATTGTAAAAATATTCAAGGACATTTTAAGCTCAACAACACCCTTTATTCATCAAACATTCAAGTGTTTTTAACAACCAGCTGAAGAAGAAAAGGGAGTGGAGAGACATCCCATGCTTTCTGACAAAAACCATGACAAATGGAAGAGACATATTTCTCGGAAAAACAGGGGAGGGGGAGCATTTGTTTCACAGGGAACATCATAACTGATACCACCCTGATTTTCTTTATTCATTCCTTTCTGATTTATGCCTCTCCACTCTATACCCATTCCCTTTACACAACAGCTGTTCCTATGGCAGAAGGGGAAGAGACTTTTGTTCTCTTGCAGATAGTGGTCTCCAGAAAGTGATTTCAAGAAAGGATAGGAGAGTGTGGGGAAGGGAAAATTCCAGGTGCATTGACTATTTTTTGGGGTAATATTATGCATGAAAAAATAAAAAAGCTCTAGTAACAAGTGGAAAAAATAATGATGAAATTTTCAGTGGGGCTTCTAAAAAGCAAAATTAAAAAAAAAATTAATACTATACAGGCCGCCCTGTTAGATACATCTTCCTACAATATTTTCAAGTTTTAAATCAATAATGCAGCTGCCTATCTCTGAGAAATTAAGGTAATAATAAATAGATCTTTTAAAACTGTTATCAAATTTAATATTGCTTATTTTTCTCCCATTAAATGTAATATTTCTCAAAAATTGACTTGAGGTAGTTTTGAATAGAAAACAATTAGTGAAAAAATACCCTTGTTGTCTGGGTAACTTTGCCTATTAAGTTTTTGCATCTTTACTTAAAGAGAAAACAAAATATATTTAACACCTTAAATCAACTAAGTATACTCTCCCCTAAATCAGGAATTAATTAGCTCCTATTAGATGGTAGAAAAGTACACAAATTATTTAGAAAAAGAATATTGAAACAGGGCAAAGCAATCTTAGTTTAATCTAGTTGTTAGTATTTGAAGAAAATAAGTATTTATAGAACTGATGTTATTTGAAAAAGCTACAGGTTAAAAAATCTTCCTCTAAACATAGTTATCACAATTTCTAGCAAACACATCGCATCTGAAAAAAACATCACCAAAAATTTCAATTATCATCATATAGAGCACACCACTGTAGAGGCAGCACTCTCGTTTTCTTTCCACTAACATACAATGAAGTATGAAATGTCACAAGATTTACTCAATTATAGGTATAAGACTACATATAAATCCCATAACGATTTGCTTTCCTAATTACATAATTTAAGTTTGATATTAAATAAAAGTTATTCACAGTTAAAAGAAAGATATCTTTAAAAATGCAGAATTATGGGCACCACATCGATTCTTATCAAGTATCACATGTGTGAAAACACACATGAAAAATAATAATCTTTAAAACATAAAATCTATACTTAGAAAAGAGTTATTAGTTATAAATCTTTTTTTTATACAATTACTATAAAAAGAGAGAATAGAGAAGGATTCTTAATTACAGAAGAAACATATATAACTAATCAGAATCATAATTTGAGAATTTGTACACAATAAAAAATAAACTATAATAAAATGAGAATCAAGCACCAACTTTTTATTTATTTTTCAAATATTTCAAATCTTATATTTAATCAAATCCATTAAAATCAGATTCTTCACCTTCAAACAAAACAGACATTGTAGTTCATCATTGAATTTATTTTACACGTCATCTTTGCCAACCGACATCAAGTAAAGAACAATTAGAAGGAATTATCCCCCACATAATGTTAAGATAAAAGAAAAAAAAAGTGTATGAATGGAATTCTGTAGAATTAGTAGGGTAGATAAGTTAAAGAATTTGAAGAAAGCAGAGCAATATGTTGAAAGACATGCAGTCCCCCTTTTCACTCGCTAGGTCACTTTATTCCAGGTGCAACCAGGAAGAATAACTAGTTCATTCACTAGCTACAATAGTAACGGTCAAATGTAACCACAGCCTATAAAATGCAGATTCCTCAGTTACTTGCAACCTTCAGTAACGAAAATGAACGGCTAAAAAGAAAATGAATGACTATGGCAGTCATGAGAGAGGCGAAACTTGCAGAAGATGTTCTGCGACGTCACAAATACTTATGACATCGACAGCATAACTTAAATTTAGTGTCAGAAAATTCCCTCTCCTCTTTCTACAGAGAAAAGTTTGAAAATCTGAAGGGAGAAATAAAATGTTTATTTATTTCTCCCATCAATCTTCCGTTTTTTTAATTCTTATTTCTAACATACTGTATACATTGGTTAGATAAAAAGGAGAAATTTTTAAATCAGCAATAAAAAAATAAATAAAAAAGAATTTCAACTAAAAATATCTGCAGAAATTGGATTGAAGCATAGAATAAAAAGATTTTATTTTCTAGTTTTGAGACAATTTGAAAACAAAATATTTATAAAGAATATATAGATGAAGAGAAGAGAGTAAATAATATAGCGTGCTAGTTTATTGTTAAGTTACAAATCGTAATTCATAACCCCATTTGTTGATGATGTCATACGGTTTTTGTCCATATAAAAAATTTCTAACTCCCCGGATTTTTTATAAAAAAAATATTATGAAATAGACTTGTTATTTCTGAAATTTTTTTTGAAAAATCTGTTTTTGAATAACTCTACTATGATTGCAAAATTATCATTCCTGGCTTGGGGAAATCGCATCGACTGCATTGGCACATAGCCTGCAAATTGCCACAGGCGAACTTTTAAACACAGATTGGTCATGGCCTATCTACTGAAAATTATTGTAGTAAAAATTTAATAAGAATTCAAACACAGTGACAGCCATTAATAAAATTCACTGATTTGTAACAACAGCCGATTTTTAAAATCAAATCTGCAAGAACAGAATCATTGCAATATCAAAACATGTTAAAAACATTCTTTAATAAAATTATTATCACCATTTTATATAATCAAGCTTTTGGAGTCTTTATGTCTTCTTTTGTGTGCGATTATTTAGAATTTTTTTATTTTCAAGATTTGAAAAAAGTGTGGCATGTAGATAAAATATTTCAGTCTGTCACCCACAAACAAAAAGAACAACGCTACAGGTGAGAATTACACTTCTTGGTTAATATTGAAGGGTCATTAAAAGATGAAGAATGAAACAGAAAGGGAAGTGTAAAAGGGTTCCAATGAAAACTGCTAATGAAATCAAGGGTATTGAAGTTATTTCCATCATTATTCAATTTCAATAATAATCAATTACTTGTTAACCCTCATTGTTTAAAAAGAATAAAGCTATCCTAGGAGGATTAACAAAGAATTTAAATGTAATTAAACTAAATTAATTGAATGCCTTATGTATTTAATGAGAAAAACATTAACTGCTCTGTTAGTTATTTAATCAAAAAAAAGGGGGGGGGGCAGAATATGCAAACCAGTTCATGGGCATATTATATTAATATTAAAATATGAATAAAGATTAAGTTTACATTTATTTCAAGTTCAATTTGTTAGTTAGTAATATGCCTAAATAGTAAAATTTGAGTATTAAGAATAAATTTGAAAAGTGTTCAAATTTACTTTTGATACTCGATGTAATATTAAAAAAATTTTCTTGAAAGTTTTTTTGTAGCTAAATATACACATTTTTATATTTGATTCGCATCATTAGTCATTTTAATTAATAGAATTGGAAGGACAATTAAAAATTTAGTGTACTTTTTTAGATTTTCAATGATGTTTGAAATGGAAATATAATTGTTCCAAAGTCTTATAATTTTAGAGCAACACGAGAATAGAATCATTAAAATTTATTAGAAATTAATATGACTGCATACAAATATAGCAGCAAAGCTCATTTGTTTATTCTGTCAAATCCAATAAGCTTTCATAGTTAAAAAATTGATTTACCATAATTATCTACAGAAGACGTAATGTGGGATATAATGTCACGGTAAAATATAGTTAGTTTTAATCTATGGCATACATACAATATTATATCAAACATCTGAGAAAAGTATAAGAAACTTACCAACTACAGCATAACCTCCAGGCAAAATTTTAAAAATATTATCTCCCATTCGTATGCCCTCAGGAAACCAAGCAGCCATGCACTCTCCTACTAGTCTTCCAAATGCTGCCCCTGAAAAAATTAGTAATTTGCATAGGCAAATTAATTTCAGAATTTTCTAAAAGAACATTAATTTAAATATTCTGATCCTATCACCAAAATAGTTCATATCAACAAATGTAAATCAAATCTATAACTATAAACGAACTGAAAAGAAAAAACTTTAATATATAAAAACAAAATCTTGAATATGATATTGAGGATTTCAGTAAATTTAAATGATTGTTAAAGATTCTAATTAAATAAAACATAAAATTCAATAATGAAATAAACTATAGATGTTCTATAATATGACAGAAGAAGCCAAGAAATAATTTTTAACAGTGTTGTACTAATTTTTTTTTATGGAAATAAATTACTGAATATAGACTGAGAATTTTTGGAAGTTTAAGTGGGGGAGAGGGTCAGTTTATAATCAGACACAATAATTTTCCAAAATTTTATACAATTGCAAAGGAAACTTATAAAAGAAAGTAGAGAAAATATCTTTTACTGCTTATTTTTCATCCTTAAGGGTGAATGTCAATACCCACTTATCACATGGTTTCAGGAAAATCTGACCAACTTTACTTCAAATTAAGAAATCATTTTAAAATTTTAGAATATCTGGAGGAGGTCGTTTAATGATTTATGTATTAAGCAAAATTGTTTCCATCTTTTAAAAATTTCGATTTTAAAATGTTTGAGAGCAAATGAGTCATAATTGCTCATGAATCTCGAAGATGGAACTGCTAGTCCTATTACGTTACAGCTTTCCAGTTTAGTCACATAAATATGGTTTTCAAAAACGTTTTTGAGGTTTTTAAAAAAATAATTATGCACACATAATTCTAGAATTTATACACACATAATTCTAGAATCTTTTCCGCATCTATTTTGTACTATACTTTTAATGATAGTTCTTGTTTTTAAAAGATGGCCTAATTTTTCCGAGAAGCTACAATAGCTCTAAGAGCAGAAGTTGCCAACTCTAAAGACATTTACTTTCTTTCACTGATCTCTATTTTCCATTATGTAGCATCATTTTTAGTGACAACCTAAAAAGTGGGAGAGCGTTATATAGTTTTTTTATAACTATGTTTATGATTAAAACTTCAATTGTATTACTTTGACAAAAAATTTAAAATTCTTCATTATTTTTAAAGTTAAAATACGTAAGAAAACATTATTTGGAATATAAGCAAAATTAGTTTAATATTAACAGAAAAAGGTTGCTCAAAGTTGGTTAGTTAGTTAAGCATGCTAATAATTTATCTACATTTCAATAATAATAACTTTATATTTTAATAATTTTACATTTTAATAACTTTTTCAAGTTCTTTAATAGTGATGCTTTCTGAATTCCTATGTTTTCTTTAAATATAAAGTGCAGGAAGCACATAAAAAATAGTTGTAATTTAGAATAGTGGAGTGCACTGTTAAAATAAAAATTGTTAATCACTTTCAAATAAATATATAGAACATTTTTCAATGAATGCATTAATTTAATGTATTTAAAATTTGTCTTTAAAATCATTATTGAAAATAATATAAAACTGTTCAAAATAATATTAGATTATTTATGCATTTAAAAAAAACTTGGAAAACAGTTAAAAAACATTAGTTAACTAGTAAAGTTATTTTAACTATTAATTAGTTTAAAAATTTATCTGTATTAATAGAACTGGTTGTTAACAGTTATTTTTAAAATGTAACATATTTAAAATCTTTTATTAGAGTGAGGAAAGAGAACTTTTCTAATTAAATACAAATAAATTTCCTTTTGCTTGCATGTAGTCTGTCACTTATTACAATCATTTTAAAATATTTACGTTTAAACTCTAACTGCACGGTGGTTAGACTAACTGGCAAACAGCAATCGTTCCAACAGATTATGTTAAAAAAATATAAATAAATAAAACTTATTGTTTTTTATTGTTAAACTGATTAACACATTTTTTTTGTTTATTCCGACACACTGTTTCCCCCCCATTCATAAAGATAGGAGGAAAAAATAGCACCAAAAAAAAAAGCAATGGGAAAATGCCCAGGAAAAAATCCCCAGTACTCATTTTCCATACTTTAAATAATTTCAATTAATGCTTGAACAATAGAAACTTTATAAGAAACTAATATTTTAACACATTTTAATAATAATAAATTAAAATAATAATTACTCGTTCTTTTATAGCATTAATACTATAATAGTAGTAATAATTACTATTTCCTTTATAGTATTTTGAAAATGAGTATTTCTGAAAAGAAATTGCTTCTCACCTGACACTTAATACAGTAGGGAACCGATTATCTGGAACGATCGGGAGCCGTTTTTTTTATTGTTAAACCTAACTGAAAAAAAAAATAATACTTGGAAATAATCTTAAAACGAAAAAACGATGAAGTAATACACTAATGATTATTTCCAAAATGATTGTAAGGTAAACATCTTTCAAAAAAGAAAGAAAAATCTTAAAATCTTATGAAAAAAATGTTTTTTTTGTTGAAAAAATGGCGGGAAAATGTATCGAATTTCGTCCCGGTTTTTTGGTTTTCGATTTTTTGATTTCCGGATAACGAGTTCTGTACTGTATTAATTTACAAAGTCTAGTACATAAAAGAATATTGAAATTAGACTTAAATAATAAAAAAAAAATTTCTCTAAAAAATTATACTTAAAATATTTTGTCATTGAAATAGTTCTTTTTTTTTACTTAGTAGGAAATAAGTTCACATGTTAATTATAAATTAATACATATTAGACCTTAACATCAATTAAAAAAAAAATTTTAAGATTATTCACTTCAGACTGAATTTAAGTTAAAATCAATTCAATTTTGATTATACTTGCTCTTTTTAAAAGCAACAATAGTTTAAATAATGAATTTTATTATTTGTTAACTTTCAAACTTTTGCTTACTTTAAATCAAAAATCTAAAAATACAAATATATAACAAGTAAAGTAATACCACAATCATTAATTGGTCATTAAACTCATATGTCATTAACCAGTTATAAATTTTTTTTAAATTTTTCACATCAAAACATAATCATTCTTTTTTTTGTTATTACATGATTACTTTTCTGGTGCTTTTTTTCGTCGCTCATGACAATTCAGAACTTCTTTTCACAGATCTTTTTCCATTAATGCCTCCATCAATTATTCCAATTTCTTTTTCATTTAACATTCTTTTACTTTTCTTAGGCATTAATTAAGTTTAACAAATGCAACAAAATAAGTTGAGAATAAAAAATATAAATCAATAAGCCAAAATGGAAACTTAAATCAATTTTAATTTTTTCTGGTAGTAAATACATCTAAATTATCAAATTCAAGTTGGAGGAAAACTTTAATAACATATGTATGTTTAAAAATTCAAACTGAAAAATAACTCTTTGTAAAACAAAGGAAAAGAAATGATAGCTTGACGTTACACATAGGCAGGGAGGACAAGTACAGAGAGATGAATCAAAGGATTCTTGATATTAGATTATGTAAATATTGACATTGTCCCAATCCTTTTTTTATATATAAATGGATAAAGTATAGCTTAGGTTATGGATGGTGTTTTCAATATAAAGGTAAGCAACAACAATCTCTAGCTCTTGATCTGCTCTACTTCCGGTTGAAAGTATACATCTGCCTACTACAGCTTATCCTGAGAGGCGATAATTTCAAACACATAATTTTGTTAATAAAAAGAAATAAATTATATGATTTCAGAACTCAAATTTGCTGTATTTAATGAGATTTTTATAACATTAATTCTGAAGAGTTTGAAGTGAAAAAATTGTTTTCCTTATTTATAGATATTTTGTTAAAAAAGGTGACATGGTTGCCATATTTAGAAAGAACTTGCCTTTTTGGCAGTCCCAAATTGGCCTCTTTTTACTTGTTTATTACTGTTTGTTCTTGTTGCAAACCGAGCACCATAATACATTAGTGTTAGCATATTGTTGCAGCAGCGATATTGAGTTCATTTTACAAATGATTATTTAAGTTTAAATTTCGTAGTTGATATATTGTTGGCAAGGAAAGTAGTCTTTGTTTTAAAATGATTGTTTTTTTCAAATAACGAGTCTTACGTCTTGAAACGACAGACTTTCAAATGACTATTCTCATAATGATTCTTTTTTTAAACACAAGTAATAAATCAGGTGACAAATACACCTATACAAGAAATGCTTCTCAAAAGAGTCTCAAAACATGATCACGTTGTGATAGAAATGGCTTCAAAATAGATCGGAAACAGCAATCCGGAAGTATAGGCAGTAAAGAGTTTGATAAAAATAAAGTAAAAATAAAAATAAAGAATTTGTTCCTCATTAAAAAGTTCAGATGTTTGCAACCTTTCATTATATAAATTTCAGATCTAAATTATTTTTTGTATAATTTGTATAGTTTTTATCCCATTATAAGATGAATAGTTATCAACAAAGAAATTTCACTTTAAACTGCAAAGAAAACGTGAGAAAATGAAAGCTGAGAAATATGTATCCTTTCTCTGAAAAGAGTTGGTATTAAAATTACAACTACAGTATTAAACAGTTGGTAAAAAATTATTATTTTGCTTTTAAATATTGCTAAGAGGAGATGAACTAAATTTTTGCTTTTCACATTAGTTTTTAAATGAGTTGAAAGTTTTCAATCAGCTTCATGCCCATAACAGATTGTTTCACTTTCTATCTCAATCAATAATCACGTAAAATAATCATATATCCAGTTGTGACAATGCTTAGGCTCACAAACTTATTCTAATTTTTGTGGTTTTTTCAGTGCCTTAGAAGCCTTATTGCCAATAAGAAAAAGTGTTTTGGGTTTTATTATTACCATCATGACTGAATCTATTATCATTGTCTTTAACTTCATAGAACATATTAAATTCCAAAGTCATTAAGAAATTAGTACTTTTATTATAAATATTGCACTGCATTTTTTTTTCTGCGGAGGTGAAGTTTAAGTAATGGATAAAATCTACAAATCATAAATTAAATAGTATTTTTCTTCATTTTTTCAAGTATTAATAATAAAGTATTTAATTAATCTCAGATTTAAACTAGAAAGAAAATGTTTTCAAACAAGAAATTGCGCAAGAAATCTCTTTTTGATGACACACTTACAAATCTACTAAATTTTGAATTCTGTCTAATAAAACTATTTAAAGGATTTAGAAATTTGCAAACACAATAATGAAAGGTTGAGAAAACACTGGTCTAATAAAAAACGTTTTGCTCAAATGAAATCAAAACCAATGAAACATAATCGAGTCCCTTCGGAAAAAAGTAATTTTTCCCAGAGAAAGAGATTCCAAGCAGGAAGTGACACTGCACTATTGAAGGTGGTAGCAGCGGAGAAAATTTTATTGCTTTTCTGATTCTTTTTCCAATCCTCTCAATCCAAAAAAGAGGCCAAATCAACATAGTTCTAAGAGCAGTATATTTAATTAATCGTGTTCTGAAAGTGACTGTATCTGATTCTTAAACAGCAAACAATTAAAACATTACACAAACAGGAAAAGCTAGTTTCAGAATTCAGATAGTTCTGGCAGTAAGGTTCTAATTTATTTTGGCTTTATGCCAGTTAAACAAGTCAAGTAATATTTAAATTCAAATCATTAAATATGGTAAAAAAAATTTCCAACATACCTTAAATTTTTTTTCAAGATTATGAAGAATATTTATTTTTTATTAGTGAACCTTAACTTCATCATTAAATAAGCCAACTTCCTTGTGATAAATTTCCATATTAAATAAGTTAGAAATACCATGAGATATTACTATAAAATATTTTGTTCTAGCCAGATATTACTGTAATTTATGGAAGAAACGCCGCGGCGTTTACGATTTTAAAAGTTTTAAAATTTTAATAGCGGCGTTTACGATATTTTAAAAATAAATTTAAAATTTTTCAAAAATAAAATACAAATTTTAATCACAATAGTTGCGAATTATGGCAAAAGATGGCGCCACTATTGCTAACCCACCACCCCTTAAAGAAAGTGGGTTGATCTCGATCTAGTTCCGGTCAAACCGCGTGGTTGATAGCTCTTTCAAATTTTTTCCAAAGAAATTTTTATTGATAAGAGGAAAAAAATCAGTCTTATTTTCTTTTTATTTGGAATTTTTTTTCTCTTGAAGTAAGTAACTATATTTTATCTCTTAAAAATAAAAACATGAAGAGAAATAATAATAAATCTGTTTCAAACAAAACATCTATTCCTAAAGCAGTTTAAATTGAAAAGTAAAAACATCTGCATTTCCAATGAACAAAATAAAGAAATGCAAGTTGGGAGAAACAGATCAATCACTCTTGACAGCTGTGCAAGTGCTTTACTGGTTTGTCCCTACATTTCTCCCTCCTGTTTGACCATAAATTAGCACACCCTTTTGACATTGAAACTTCTTTCTCACTTGGTGTACAAAATTAATACTATCCCTTTTGCTGCTTTTTTTTATTCGATTTATTTATCTTTTTATTAGTTATTAACTGTTACTCTTTTTTTGTTACTTGTTAACTTGTTTTTTTCTTATTGTTATTAGTTGTTTGCTTCTTTTTTATAGTTATTCATTGTTAGTTTCTTAGCATTAATTGTTACTTTTTTTGTAGTTCCTTGTTAGCTTTTTTTATTTTATTTATTTATTTATTTTTTTTTAAAGAGAGGTGAACGTCTCTTGTTAAAACAAAATGTTATGTAAAAGTAAAAATAAAATGAGAAAGATCTCGTGCCGAAGAAGAAACGATTATTTCTTTTTTGGAGGATTCGGATTATTTCATCTTGAATTATTTCTTCGGATTATTTCTTCTTGATTATATCATATAGATTATCATTTTAAATAATGAAATTTCTAAAGATGGGACAGTTTTAAATTCACCCCATCGTAATATACAATTGAAACTTAGCTAAATTTATTGGTTTTTCTGAAATTAACAGCGTAATTGAATTATTGTAATATATGGGCGCCATATTGGAATTTCCGGAAGAGATCCGAAATGCGACAAATTCCGAAATACGGAATTTTGTCGGTCCGTGAGTGCCGGATTTTGGATCCTATACTTTTTTTACTTTTGCCGCTAAATCGTTATTATGGGTGCGACGTTTACAACATGTGCGGCGTTTACCATGGTTTTTTTCTTTTTAGTCTCATTATTGCGAGTGCGGCGTATCTTCCATAAATTAGCTTTTATTACAAAAATTATGACAAAAAGTAAATTCTTATTAGTTTGATGGGGAAAAAATGAAACTTTGTTGGCTGAAACATGATTAACATAAAAAAAGTATTCTTCCACAGAGTGAATAGTAAAAAACTAAGAATTCTAAATGCTAGGACTGAGTAAAAATAATAAATAATGGAACATACAAGCAAAATTAACAAATAATGGTTAATAAAACACTTAAAAGTTGATTTCTATGCTTCATGAAATATTGAAGATTACTAATTAAAGATCGTAGTCCAGCTAGAAAGTATAAGATTATTGCATATTCATATACTTCTCTTTAAACAGAAAACCTAACACTTTGAAGAGGAAAAAATAACTTTTACATAAAACTAAGCTATATGACATCAATTATATTTCAAATCTAAAAATAACGAAACTGAAATGAACTAAAATTAAAGCTACTAAAAATTATGCAACTGCTAAATTTTTGACAGCACTGGCTATAAAATTTTTCAAAATTTTAATTAGAGCAAAATCGCTTAATCTATCTTGCAACATTAATAAATCTAGCTGAGATTTATCAATTTTTAGTTTAAAAAAAGGTCTTTAACAACTCACATTTGAAATATGATCTTCATTAAAACGATTTTTTATGATTATATCCTACAATTTTATGTATACATTATGTCACTTATGTGTCACACAATTTCAGTAAAAAAAACCTATTGTCTTGTAAATGTAGCCAAAACCATTGCTTTTTGATGGATGTAAACATTCTTACTGCTCTCTGTCTCATGTTGAAGTAAAAAACTGTAGGAAAGCTTTAATTCACATCACAGAAAGTGCTCATGTTATGAGGATTTTCTCTTTTGACAAAATTTGTTCACGTGAATGTTAAAGTCATGTCAAAATTGGTTAATGTAAAATTGCAACAACTCATTTTACCATTAGATACTGCTCTAACACAATTTTTTCTAAGAAAAAGAACTTTTTAGGAGGCTGGACACAGTTTTTCTGAAGAAAAAAATTCACTAATTCTGAAGACAGATTACAGATTTTAAGTTTCTGGTGGGTATCCTAGCTATACTCATCATTGTAGAGTATGCAAAATAATGAAGTAGATACCCTAAATAACTCATCGAATTTTCCCGCACTGGGTCTTAATCTTAATGGTTCAAAGGCCTAACCTCGATATGCTCATTAAATTTAATAGACCAAAGGGCAGTTAAAAGATGGCATGCTTAATTTTTTTACATCAGCTTATCTGTAGGTTTTCAGTTTTGCGTAAATTTTCAAAGAAAAATTATACTCTTGCACTCAGTTTATGCACAGATGGACTTATATTTTTCTGTGAGAGAGGACAAACTTGATAGTGAACATTACTAGAATATACTCAAGATGTTTTTTGCTTAATGACATTACATATAAATAAAATTACCAATTCGAAATATGGGAATAAAAACTCCAGCTGGAACAGGTAATGTGGCACAAATGGTAGTAGTTACAAACTATAAAAAGATTGAAAAAATTAATAAAAAAACAACAGTAAGATGTATAAATTAAAGATGTATAAATTAAAAGGGAACATTTTAGAAATCGAACCTGAATTAATTTGGTCACCTATACTTTAATTACATTGTCAATTCTAATATAATTTTCAAGGCAATCTAGAATATTATTAAGTAGATCTCTTTAATTTACTTGATGCACTTAAATGTAAACAATGAAGAAAGAAGCATCACATTATCATTTATTATTTTTTTGCTCTTTTTTAAAAAAAATATTATGTACTAAGATGAATACCAAAGAAAAATAATATTTTCTTTCTTCAATTTTTAATAACACTATTATGCTTGTTTTAAAAAATGTATAATTTCAAATCATTTATCATTATTTATGAATTTTTCTCCTTCAGAAATATTCCTGAAAGAAACTTTCATAGACTTACTTTAAAATGTATTCATTTATGGAAACATAAATGCTTCATTTTTGATTAATGAATTCTGAAATAAAAAATAAATACTATATCTGTCTTCCACCTAATTACATGTTCAGAACTCAAAAATATTTGTAATATTCGAGAGAATATAAGACAGGAACAACTTATAAAATTGTCCCAATTAAAAGATATTGCAATAGTTAGAAAAATAATAATGCATACATACATTCATCACAATGAAAACAGCAAGATTAACAAAAATATTTGTGTACGGAGTCTTCCAGTGACTGACAACTATAGAATCATCTACTTCTAAATTTGTTCCAGACCAAGTAATATTGCTGAACAACTCATTCATAATTTCATGATTAGTAAGCTAAAATAAACACAAATTTAAAAATCCAATTATTTACAGAAGTTTTTTTTTTTTATTTATAACAGATTTGAGTTAGAGTATACAATTTAATCATGCATTAATGTGCAGACATTTTTTTAAAAATTTATTCCTTGAAATCGAGCACATATCTCTTGTAATACTAGATCCAACAAAGCCAAGCAACAAAAACTTTTTTTAATTAAATAATTTCAATTTTAAACATAATCTTTTCTTATAAAGGGATTTAATCTTATGTGGCCAAGTGAAATGTATTGAAAGTCACACAACTGTGCATTACTCACCAAATTTTTATGATGCCAAAAAGGATAAGAGGATTTCATTAAAAGTTTTAAACGTTTCAACTCTTTAAAAATTAAAAAAAAGAAAAAAAAAACTGTTAGTAGAAACTGAGTCAGAATAGTTAAGTAAATTGCTGTTTAACTAAATGCTACATTTTGTAATTTTAATAAGATATGTCAAACAATTTACTATATACTATTTGGCGGAGAACAATTTGATTTAAGATTATTGATAAAAAGGACAAGATTATGAGTGAATGTATTAAAACATACCTCTGCAGCCATAAACTGGCCCAGTCCCAAAGGAAAGGTAAGACTAGAAATAACTATGGTGATAACAGCAGGATACATAAAACGACTAAAAAAAAGAGAGATTTTAGACAGTTGAACTTCAAAATTCTTATAACTTCTATTAATAAAATGTAGAGTCACAATTGCTCTTATGTGACTCCATATATTGCTATTAAAAATTATTATTGAATATAATGATTTCAGTTGAGTTAAAGCTCACTTTTAAAGGTTCTGGCCAGCCCAAAGACATTAAATATGAGCAATAACTGACAGGATTTACTTAAAACTGAGATAGAGATTTAACATGATAAATAGAGACCAAGATTTAGGAACACACATATATACAATGAATTAGTATATAGAAAATTACTTCTGTTTAAACCCTGTTCTTATACTAAAATAAGGTTAAAAGTAGTTGCCACTAATCACTACAAATTTAGTTTTTTGTAATGAACTACTACTCACTACAATACTTTTTTAAAAAGTAGCACGCTACACTACAAAAAAAGGAGAGAATACAAATTAACTATTTGTAGCTAGCTAGATACGACCACTGTATAGAATGTTACAGCTTTCTCTACCAACATACCGTTTCTTTCATCTTTTTAACACCAATCGTTTCAGAATTATTCATCTTGAAATGATGTATTATTTTTCTGGATAACTTTGATTTGAAGAATGGCGTACACAAGTTCAACTTAAATTTTACTTATCCAAAAAATAAATAAAAAAATAAAACTAATAGCATTGCATAATTTTCATCGATTCCTTTTCACAAATGCAATGTTTAATTCTGCAATCATAAATTTTTCGCAATGAATTATTTTTCTCATTGAATTTATTAATTGAATAGTTTATTATATATCTAATAAACTTTAACTTATTCAAAAAATTTTATCGACTTCAATCCAATGTTTAGGGTAGTTTAATTGTTTGAGAGTCACTTTTGCTTGATTACACTATGATCTGTTTTATTAAGACAATGATATCAACCTTATTGCAAAACACAATCTTGGATAGCTTTAAATCTCCAAATTTTAGTTGAGTGGTAGATCCACAGAATTCCATAATGTTATCAGAAAATATTTTTTTCAGGATCAATATTAAAAGTTATTATAAAACACATTAAAAGCAATTATAAAAGGCACTAGTAGCATTATCAAAAATTCTAAATTATTATCATCACATAATTAATAATCAAAACTCTGAAACTCTAAATGTAATTAAGAAGTAAATTTATACAGAAAATGATTACATACTATCTTTGCAAAAATGAATTCATAGTTTTATGTCTTCGGTTAAAATATACAATTTGACGATGCAGCCAGACAAATAAAGCCCCAGCAAAACCACAAAATGCCCTATAAAGAAAATAAAGAATATTTTTAAAGAAGTATAATCTTTGAATAATTTAAAAAAACAATATAATTAAAACATAATTTTACTTTAATTGAATTTTAAACATATTGATTATAAATATTAATTTATATATGCATTGAAAATTTAGAAAACTGGATAAAAAAGATATTCTAAAATGATTGCTTATAACACCTTATCATTGCAACTTAAAAGCAATTTGGAATGCTACTGTTTTAATAGATTTTCAAAAAAAGAAAATTTTTTTTGAAGTTAGACAGAATTAGCTCTTGAGATACCTATCAACAGTGTTTGTTTTGTTTAATCGATCAAAATTATAATTTAAAAAATCATCCAGATAAAAAAACTCATTAAGCATAAGATTAAAATATATATTTATAAGATTTGCAAAATATAAAGTTAAAAAAATTTTTATATGAAGAATTGTTAATTAATATTTTAATGAGAAATCTTTTGTTTCAGCAAACTGTGACTAATCATTATCAGGTTTGATAAGATCAGAAAAGGAATAAAATTTTCAAAAAATTGTTTATTTCAGGAAAAAGCTGAAAGGTGGCTCTTTAGAAAAGAACACTTATTAAACCAACAAGCTGGAATTTGATTATTTCAACATCTCCTTTGTTCTAGATTTTCATAATGATAGGTCAAGGTTTGCTAAAAACATTTTTTACACTTTGGTATTAATTTAATGTTAATGTGAAAAAATTTTCCTCTTCAATTCATACAAATTCAGAAATCTATGCTAAAACAGGTCATTAGGGTGACCTGGGGTAATTCCTGATCAAACAACGCAAACATCTATTTTATGAAAAAACTATTCGAAACAGAATTTTAATATTTACTGTAAGTTTGAGGCTATATGAGGTGAGTCCAACGCCACCTTCTTTTGTTTGAAAATCTAATTAGAATTCAAAAGATTTTAAATTTTTAGTGATCAAGAATTACCCCTGGTCTTGATCATTTCTGGGGTAATTCCTGATCACTTCTGGGGTAATTACTGATCACCAGTTTTTATTGTAAAGGGGCTGTTTAAAAATAATTATATAATATATGTTTAAAAATAAAAATAATAATATATGCTGTTTAAAAATAATTATATAATAGTAATTAACAAATAAGACATCAAGATCAAACAAATAAACCAAAAAGATATGTTTAAGCAGCTAATAAAATGATTTATTTAAAAGCACGAAAAATGACTAACACTTCAAATTTTCAAAAATCTTTGCATCGTGCCATACATTTTAGGCAATCATCATTCTCATGTTCTTCTGAAATATAAGAGAATTCCCACATGGGTTACTTTTGCTGGATTTTTTTAACTTCATTAAGGGAAAGTGAAAAGTTAAATGAGGTATGTCAACAGCTCAGGCAGCAGCTCTCACACTGAAATTTTCATTTTCAATCATTAAAAAAAATTCACTAATTTTGTTTTCTAGAAGCTTAGTATCCTTTTTAGGCTTATAATTTCTCACCCTATTTATACTAGGCTAATTTATAAACTTAAAAATTATTCTAATGATGTACACACATAAAATTAAGATAGAAGCAAGGTAAGACAAACCAGAAATGGTGCAAATCAGAATACAGTCTTGTACACAGTTAAAAACGAATTTTGTGATGGCTGTTAAAATATATTTTATAGTTGTTCCACTTAAGAAATATGAACTGTTATTTAAGAAAAGACAATTAGGTAATTATAAGCTATTTTATATACTATTTATAAGAAGAAATGACAATGATCAGGAATTACCCCAGTGATCAATAATTACCCCATCTGTAGGGGGCAACATTTGATATAGTTTCCTATAATCATTTATCATGTTTACAGTAGATGTGTAACAATGAAACAAAAGCTTACACTACTTTTATATCATAGAAAAAGAAAGTGACTCAAAATATTTATTGTTAAGAGAAGGAAGGGGATCTTTGCAGAAATGTGCACATTTTGAAACCCATCTTTGAAATGGAAAATACAGAAAGCAGTTTAAAAGATACTTATTTTGTTAGATTAAACAAAAAATTATTATTAAGTAAATGTAGTTATACTTTAGTAAAGTGTACAAGCATTCTTGTCCATGTCTTAAATTTAAAAAATAAAAATTTTTTTAAAATAAAAATTAGGTGATCATTATTTACCCCAGAAACAGAGTCATCGTGAATTACCCCGGGTCACCCTACATAATACTCTGTATAGTGCAGGTCTTCTTCTAGTCAGTCAGACAAATAAGTTGGTTTTTGATCATTATAATTCCTCTAGAGCTACCCCTTCCTGCCCCTTGATGTAAATATTTTTTCCTCATTGTTCATAATTTTGATGTTTAAGATTTTAAAACTACATATACATAGTCATTATGGAATCATACTGTAGGTCTATATACTACATTACCTGCCCTGTGGAATACGCAAAAATTTTGAGATTTTATGACCTAAATGCGTGGAGAGAGGAATTTAATTGGAGGGACTTCAAATTACCTTTGAAAAACATTGATGAAGTAGTTCTCTCTCCAAATTTGTTTATTTTTGAGAAAATACCTTTTAAAATTTGATAAGAATATGGGAACTTTGAAAGAAAACTAGCTCTTAGCTATCAATTAAGTAACCAGTCATATGGAGAGACATTAATAATTCATGTAATTTTGTACAACAAGTGGCTAAAAGTGCATGCTAGAGCAATAATTTATTTAAAACAGAACATAGTTTCAAATAATCTTAGTTAACTTTAAATATCTCATTTCTAAAATTCTCATTATAATACAGTAGAGAACCAATTATCGGCCAAAAAGTGTCGTTAATCAATGTTTTATCAAACCCAAATTACAAGGAAAAAGTGTAACACATTTCAAATTAAGGGGAAAAAAAAGCTTTCCTAAATTTAAAAAAAATAGTAGAAAAATAACATTTAAAAGAATAAAAACATTTGCAAGGATAGAAAAGAAAAACAAGTTTGAAAAATACAAAATTCACACATTTATTTATGAAAACAATTAAAATCACTAATTAACTGACATAAAACAAAACCAATGATTAAAAAATGCAATATATTTCATACCTAATTATACGAGAGTAAAAAAAGGCACTAATATAAATATTAAAACCCCAAACAAGGCAGGATATTATGAGATCAATGGAATTAAAAATAATAAAAAAAACAACTCAATCATAAAATTTATGAATAAAAAGATATGATTAAAAAGATGATTTTTTAAAAAATATTAATAATAATTTTCAATATTTATTATTAATATTTCAAATTATTAATAATAGCTAAAATTATTAATAATTAATATTATTAATTATTTTAATTATTCAAATAACAATTATAATTATATAATGATAAATATAAAAACATTCAAATAATAATTTTAAGTATTATTTTTAATACATTCTTAATAATAATATTTAAATTCATTACTAAGAATTTATTATTAATAATTTAAATTATTAATAATTATTAAAATTATTAGATAATAATTTTTAATAATTTTAAATTTTTAATAGAAATTAATAATAATAATTTTCGGAAAATCTAAATTTTTTTTGAAAATATAAATTTTCTATATACGTAATAGCCTTGAAATGATTTGTTTTTTAAATCCACTCATTTATTTCTGTTTACCCTGTATATAAAAACAATGCATTTACAAATTCCTGTTTGCAAAAACTTCGCATGCTTATTTATTACACAATTTACACGTGTCCTGAATTCCATAAATTAGGCCTGTAACACGTCTAAAAGCAGGTTCAACAGCAATTTTCTCATATTCAAATTATGTTTGAATGTTAATTTCAGCTGCTAAAAAACTTGCTGTTTTACCTCGTGTAACAAAAAGAAAGTCTCACCAACACGCATCTGACTTTGATTAAGGAAAAATTACAGCATGCAGGCATTTGTATTAAAAATATACATATTCAATAATTCCTTCAACCTCTATCTTCAATCAATAAATTCTCTAGGATAATCATAACTAACACAAACTATTCTATTCGGCACGATAGAGTCAGAATGCTTCTAAGCGAAGCGTGCTATATGGAATACTTTATGTATTCATTACGCTTGGCTGCTTGTATGTGATGTTTGAAATCACTTCACATGTTCGATGGAATTTATACTGTTTTTTCTCCCCGCATGATGACACTAGTTGGAAACTTACCAATCCTCAATCTTCATATAACCTATCGATTTATTCCTTATTGCTAAAATCTCGGAAGATTGATAGATTTTGATGTAGAATAGATATAATGAAATTAAAGTAACCTAAGAGCAAACATAATTCATACTTCAAAACTCTTTTGGTTCTATGCCAATGTTTCCAGATGGAACATGACAAAAATAATCAAATTTTTTAAAATAGCTTAGTAAAATTTTTAAATTGAACCGTTTTATCTACATCAGATTTTTCCTCTGACAATTCACTGACTTTTTTGCTTAATTTCGTTTTTCCTGACTAATCCTGGGGCTTATGAATCCGTCATTTTACTTTCAGAGGATATCGTTGTTCATTTCCGAATTTTCATTCTAGATTCTAAATTTAACAAGATCCGACTTTAGAAAAGTTTTTCATACTAATTTATTATTTTATTTCGTTTTTATTTTTTAAAACGTCATATTCTTATAAGGCGTGGCAAAACTTTGTTGCGTTTTTAATTAAAAGTTCCCATTTTTTTTCTTATTTCATCCATTTTTTTAAATAATGAGTTTAAAAAAAACTAACTACTCAATTTTGGATTCTAACGGATGTTTTATAAATCTCTTTGGAATCATTTAATGCTTGCTAGCTCAACGATTATTGTATTTTCCCCCTACTAGCACAGCCAATTATGTTAATAATTTACTAAATTATAATTACAAAATTCGGATTATTTTTTAAAGGATTAAATTCAGCTAAACTATATTCCTGCTTTATTATTTAATAAAAAAATAGCCGTATTTTAATCGTTTTCGAATTTTTATTTTACTTTTTTTTAGTAAAGTATGGGGATATATTTTTCTTTTTATTTCTCTTTCATCTTCCGTTCACTAATATGAGTGTGCAGTGTATTTTCCCCACCCCCTCATAAATCAAAGAAAAAACGAAATCAGCATGCCACTCCTTTAAATTTGATTGACAGCAAAACATTTGTTCCTTCCCTGCCCCCTTGTGATCTGAAGATTTTCAAGGTCATGGAAGAAATTAAGTTTCTCTGGACTAACGAGGAGAAAAATTCCCCCTTCCCCACATTTTCCTCTAATCGTTCTAGTTCAAAATAGCAGGAAAATTGAGTAAATTTTTCCCCGGTTTTCTGGATACCAGATAAATGGTTTTCTACTGTAACATAACAACATTTACAATTGTTATAATTTGTTTTATTACAAAAATAGTAAATTTTTCAGCAAAAATTTACTAATTCATTAAAACCAGACCAGTTTAATAAGAATAATTTGACACAGTGCTAGTATAAATAGTATTTATATAATATGTAGTATCTACAGGAATTTTAAATTACAAATTATAATTACCCTATAAGAGCAAAGGCTAAAAGTTCTTGAGGGTCAAAGGGGAAATCAACAGAGAAATTTGTCTTGAACAAAGCTGTAATAGTTTCTGTAAAGAAAAATTCCAAAAATGTGGCTTAAATGGCATTTTATGACATGAAATGACACTTAAGAAAGCAACTTTTTCAGAATGTTACACATTTTATAATTGTGTTTAATATTAGAGGCAGAATGAATAGTAGAAAAATTTTTAAAACTATTTTACGAAAATAAAAGACATTTATTTTTTATGTATTTATGACATGTAAAGATTAAAGATATTTTTTTCACATATTAAGCCTTAATTTAAATTGAAAGTGAAACTAACTAAAAATGAATTTTTAACGATATGGATTTTTAACAAAATATTATTCTGAGGAGTTCATTATAATGAATTAATTAGAATGAATTTAATGATTAATTGAAATAGACTGATGATTTAATTTAAACACAGAGATGCCAACTGTTTTGTGTTCTGCAAAAAAAAAAATTATTTCTTGAAAAGTGGAAGAGAATTAAACACTAAAACTTGCTAAGTTTTGGTTAATTTTTTTAAACACATAAAATTTCTCACCACAAGATAACTAGGATACAGTGGCATTTAATATAAACTTTTAAACTATTAAGTAGTGGCGGGCAAAATAATTTAAAATAAAATTTTTTAAATCAAAAACTATAATTAAGGCATAGATTTAGCCATAACTAAAGAAACTTTGCTAAAAAAAAGCAGAGCAAGTTGGCATTTCTGCATATATAATTGAAAATTTTAAGATTCTGGTAGCCTATTGACAGATTAAAGTAAGAAACAAATTTAAGAAACAAACTTAAAAATGATACAACAACCATACAGCCACCAATATCCCAGGGATATCCAATTACATGTTATGTATTTCAATATCCAATGGACAAACAGTATTTTACAGACTTCTTACATCCAAGTCTATGAATATGGATAATTTGAATATCTATGAGACATCATTCACAGATATCTACAGAATACAGTTCTTTTAATATTACTGAAAAATCTAGATATAAATTATTAGTAATGGATATTTTGTATATATCTTGGAAATTTACTATTGAAATGTTTCAGAAATGATTATTTGGATTTTTTATCGAATGCTACATGAGATGTTTCAAATTACCTATGCCTAATATCTGAGGCATATCTAGTTTTTGGATATCACTAACACAGTTAATTGACATTTATAAAGCTTGAATTATTTACAAATTCAAAATATATAAATTGTTAAATAATTTTTCATCATAAATAAAGAACTATTATTATTTTAAATTTTCCTTGATTATTATCAATCCAATAATATAATCCTAAAATATAACAAGCGTGAATCTATCTTAAAAGAGTAAAAGCACTATCCAGATATATTGTTAGATACTTGATTAAGATTGATCAACAAAGAGAATGCAGAAGAATCTGGAAGGCATTTGAGACATTCAGGTGACAAGATAGTAAGGCATCCATCGATAACACAATTTTATAAATCTATATAGTTAATCATCTGTGTTTAAAGCTTAATCTGTAACATGGTGATATCTTGCATAAAATATTCAAGCGTTTTTCATAAAGTTTTATTTCAGATTAAATTTTTAAAAAAAATTTACTGAATATTAGTTTTTTTTAACATTCATCATAAATTTGTAAGGAAAAGCAGAGTTTGAAATTAAAAAACCATTTCTTATATCAAGTTGCTTATAAACAGTTTCATTTATTATCATTATTTTCATATATGCTAAAATTTTTAAGTTAACATTTAGGTCATTATAAAAACAAACTAATATTCTCAATCCCCCTCCCCCCCCGGCAACAACAATATGACAAATGCTATTACAATATGAGCGATAGTTCACAATCTTAAATTTCAGTGGGTATATTTATTATTTGTTAACTATCATTTAAGTTTTTTTTGTAAAAAATGCTACTATTATATATTAAAAAATTTTATTTCTAAAATATCATGATAGATATACGTTTTTTGTTTGTCAAAGATAAAATAATTGTGCTGCCAATTTTTATGTTTTTTTTTCTGGATATAAGATCTGGCAAGTTTTTTTGCCAAGTGGCAGTAATGGGTTAAGTCTCATGGGTAATTCAAAATATGTATGTAAAACCATGTTTGAATAGTTGTTAAAGAGTTAAATATAATGATGCAGGGTTAAAACCTCCTAATAAAATTAAAATAGTGAGAAAAAGGTATGATACGTAAGGTAATGAAATATTTTACCACATTATGTTAACAATATGGGTAATAATATTTAGTTCTAAACATGATTGTAATGTTATTTCTAAATTAAGAAGAAAATTAAAAATTTTGTAAGCTTTAATTTAAATTAAAACTAATGTCTGATTTTTATTAAATTGGCTACTGTTCTGTTAAATTTTTATAGGAGGCTTTGATCCCAGTTAATGTAAAAATAGAATTTCTCTATTACAATTATTTAGACAAAAAAAAGAGTATTTGCAAATTAAAAAATCTATGCATACTTATATTCTGATAAAAAAATTTGTAAGCTTCTAATATAACTCAGTATTTAAGTGAACCTAGTGAACAATGAGGATTTTTTTTGCCCCTTCAGAACAATTCTAAGAAAAGATAATTCCCTTTTACTCCTTATCTCTTCCATTCAATTCTACTCCCATTCTATGTAGATTTTTTTTACCCCTGTTAGGAGAGTGATGCCCTTTCTTTTCTTGTACCTTCAACTCTCCCACCACACCCTAAAATTTTCCCCATTCTTACCAGTAAGTGTACATACCATTTAAGGTCACCTTGGGCTGGGAAGAAATGTTGACCACTTGTGCAGAGGATTGCTTCCCCTTCTCTTCCCACCACACTTAACAAACACCTGCACTTTTATTAGCAATCTTCAATTCAGTTACGGTAATTGATTATCTACCTTTTTCCTCCACTCATTGTTCATTTACAGTCTAACATTAATCCTCTACCCTAAACATCAGGATAACTATTATTTAGAAATAAATTCATAAGCAAATGCTTAAAATAAGAACTTTTAAATTGTATCATAGAGAAGGGGGGGGGGCTTTTTTGGTACAGATTGACAATCAATATTTATGTGAAACTACAGGGGGCACTTTCACCAGTTGGGGCATTTTATCCCTATTTTAAGATATACTAGCATTGAAATAAAAAGCTATATTTATTGAGAAACAAAATAAGAATTAAAAATAAATTTGAGAAATAAATGAAATTAAAAGCTAGGAAATATGTAATGTTAATAATGGTATGACAAATGTTTTTAACTTTTACAAAGTTCAGGTAACAATTTTAATAATATATATCAGCCTCTTAAAAATGGATTTTAAGTGCATTAAACTAAGATAATACACACAGGAGTTTATTGTTTAAAAATTTTATTTTTCTACCTCCACAGACTATTTAAAAGAACACTTTCTAAAACACAACTGCTTTGTAATTTTGCCCACTACAACTATTTAATTTAAACTTAAATACTACTATTTAATTCAGACTTAAATACTACTATTTAATTTAGACTTAAATAGTAAATGAATTTCCCATAATAAAATACCTTCATCTTTAAACCATACAGCAAGAAGTCGCCAAACCATAGCACCACAACAAGCAGCAAAGAAGCCTCTCCAATAGTTTCTAACAGCAAAAAATACTGATGTTACTTCAATGCTAAACAACACACCTAAAATGGTTGATTAATAATTATACAACATACGAATTCTTTTTTGTTTTTGAAAAAAAAGTACAAGATGGAATTAATAACATGCACTTTTGAAATAATAAACACATGAGCTACAAGCAAAGTAATTAATTTAAAACCAAACATAATCCATTTGTCATAATATTTATTTCAATAAAGGAATAAATAAACTGTCAATGGTTGTTAAAGCTATTAATAAATATCATTAGATATAAGTCAAAAAAGTATTTTCTATTTAATTATTCAGAAAAGTAACGCATGTGTTTTTGTGCAAATTAACTCATTGGGTTTTATTTTGCATAAATAATCATTTAAGTTATATAATTCTGAAACTTTGTTATTTCATAGAAATATGCTAAAAATCAGTATATTGTATTTAATTGCATGTGATATTGTCCAGCATTCTGTTGTTTGTTAGACAATTATGTTAAAATATAGTGAAATAGCATGGCGATGCAAATTTGTTGGCATATTAAGATATTAATGAATTTGAATATAATCTTCTACTTAATGATCAGAGTTTCTTTATGTACAAAGATGCAAGTTTCATGGTTTAAGATACCCATCTAAGTGCAGACAATTTATTTCAGTTATGAATTGAAGAGCTTAGTGGAAGAACCGGCTAAGTGACATTTTTAAAAAATTGAGATTTCTCGGATAAGTTCTAATTTTAGCTTTATTTAAATAACACGGTGATGCAAACATTCATTCATATTGCCAAATCTATTCATTCCAAAGACATTCAGTGGAAGAATCGGCAAGTGACTTGGCGACAAATAGTCAATAAAAATCTTAGAAAATCTCTTGCTCAGCATCGATATTACAACGGCATAAACGAATCACGACATTGGATTTTAAACTCATGTGAATATGAATTGCTACAATGGGTTTTAAAAACTAGTAAATACAAATCGCGGTTTAAGATTTTTAAATCTCCTAAATAAGAATCGTACAATACTTAAATCACGTGAATAAGAATCGCAACATGCAACTTTTAAATCAGGTAAATACGAAAATCGATGTTTGACAATAAAATCGGGATTTTAAAAACTCGTAAATACAATCGCATATTTAAATCTTGTAAATAAGAATTGCAATGTACGATATTTAAATCACGTGAATGAGAATTGCAATGCGAAATTTTTAAAACAGATCAATACGAAAATCGATGCTTAATATTAAAATCGCGTGAATAAGAATCGAGATATTAGCAGATTCTGGGCTTGGGATTTCTAAAAGACTTGTTTGTATTATTTTTGTTTGGCCATAATAAATAAAAATTCTTAAGATTAACTCAATGAGCAAATAAATATTTTCACCGCAAATGTACAGCTATTTTTTTATTATTTCGTTTGCTTTCGCGCCAGCAAACAGAAGCAGCGAGGTCTGAATTTCAAAAATACAAGATATCTGGCGGGTGGGTAAGAATACGAAAAATCTTATTTTTTGCGCTCGTAAGAGTGGAGAAAATAGCTAAAATATGTAAAAATGGGGAAGGGTTAGCAGCTGCGGCATAGTTTGAATTTTCTGTTTATCTTTGAAAATCGGAAGTAAATATAATTATTTTATCTCCATGACTGCATTTTCAGAAAAAGTGGAATATTTATAGAAAAACCGAAACTTTTACAGAATCTAAGTTTTTGATAAAAAGGCAGAAATTCGAGAGACAAAAGTGAAAAAATGTCATCCCTGCATAATCAACAATTTTCTGTGGTACTTATCTGATTTAGTAGGCTATAAAAATCCCTGTACTCCTAGTAGGTATTGTGATACGTATATTAGTATGTATAGTACATATTTTAAAACAGCACCAATATCAATAATACCTATTATCAAAAGTTTTCTATTTTTTGGATTATTATTTTTAAATTGTAAATAAGAAGGGACTTATTAACAACCTAAAAGATGTGTGATCTCGCTCAGAATATTAAATGTTAAATCCAAAATGTATTTAGCGTACTTATATGTTTGACAAAATTAATGGCTACTTTTTCATAAAAATCGGCATGGCTCAGTCAGGACAAATTAAATCTACATATGAATGAAAGACAAAGATAGATAGCGAAACTTTATTTTGCTCCTTGTTAGCAGGGATTGCTGTGTTGATGCAAATTATACTTTGGTCGAAACAAATCAGAGCTCCACTGACATTGGGCTAACTTCAAGGTTTTCGTGACTCTTACCTCAACTTTGTGCAAATGCCAAATAATGTCACTTAAAAAAACTCCTCTTAAAGGTGAAAGTGACTTAGTTTTTTAAACCTGTTCTCTTGTCTTCTAGACTCATGGTTAAGAAGTTGAAAATTAAAAAAAAACAGCTGTAATATTATTAATTATAGTGGATTGGTGTTCAGCGGCAGAAATTTGTGAAGTGGTAACCTAAATTATTAAAAAACGAGAATTGTGTAACTAATTATGAAGACATAGATTACCACAATAGAAAAAGAACTGTTTTATACACTTTTTTATAAATTAAAATTTGTCATTTCTGTATGAAACTGCATTATTTTTAATGAAAAATTTAAAATAATTTGTATTTCAACAACTATACCTAGATGTTTTTTGTATTAAAACTAATAAAAATACTTCTATTTAATTTCAGAAATATCTACAGGTGTGACGAAATGAATATTTTGATTACAATCAGCGCTATTTAAAAGAATGTTTTTTTTTAAATTAAAAGTTACCAAATTATCACCAATTAAAACTGTACTCACCGGTGAAACATCTACTTTGCAGAAGTAGAGCCCACACTGTTTCTAAATCGTTTTTGATAGGTTTTTGGACTAACAAGGCTATAGAAAATTTTTTACCAGTTTGTTTCACATTAAGTTTAGTTAAAATTTTATTCTATGAACATAAGAGTAAACAAATGTATATTTATTTTATCTTTTTAAAGCAAAATTATGATCGATAAAAAACATGAAAAATTGTCTATGAAAACAAGCAATTGTGCACGTAAATCATTAAAATATTCCTTTATAAAAGAGTAAGAATCAAATAAATAGACCCTGAAAAATTTTGCGAGTGATGAGTGTAACATGAATATGAAACTAGATATACGATTTTGAAAATGAGAAAATACAAACTCCGATATAGAATTCTTAAATCGCATAAATACAAATCACGATTCTTAATTTTCAGATTGCGTAAATACGAATCATGATGCGTCATTTTTAGCTTGCATAAATAAGAATCATGATGCATAATTTTTAGAACGCGAGAATGTGAATCCCAATGCCTTATTTTTAAATCACGTATAAATATGAAAATCGATATTATAACCGCATGAGCGAATCACGACATAGGTTTTTAATAAGGTGTGAATACAAATCACGATATCAGATTTTTAAATCCCGTAAATAAGATTCGCAATGTACCATACTTAAATCGCGTGAAAAAGAACTGCAAAACGCAACTTTTAAATCACCTAAATACAAAAAGCTATGTTTGATATTGAGAACGTGTGAATAGGAATCGTGATATTAGCAGATTCCAGGCTTGGGATTTCTAAAAGACTTGTCTGAAGCAGCGTCGTTTGAATTACGAAAATACGAGCTATCTGGTGGGCGAGTAAAAATGCAGAAAATCTTATCTTCTGCGTGTAAAAGCGGAGAAAGTTGATAAAATAAGTAAAAATACGGATGGGTTGGTAGCTATGTAGTTTGAATTTTCTGTTTACCTTTGAAAATCGGAAATAAATATAATTATTTTATTTCAATGGCTGATTTTTCTGAAAAAACGGAATATTTATGAAAAAAAATTTGAAATTTTTAGAGAATTAGAGTTTTTGATAGAAAGGCTGAAATTCAAGAGACAAAAGTGAAAAAAGCGGAAAAATCTCATCCCTGCAGGTCGTTTCAGCAACACCACTTCACCGACAGATTATTTCATAGACTGGGTCACTTCATCTACAGGTCATTTCATTGACAAGTCATTTCTCCAATAGGGTTATCTTGTCATCAGGGTTGTTTCGCCAACATGGTAATTTTGTCGACAAGGTAATTTAATTGACAGGTTCATTTTGTGGAGAGAGTCGTAGCGTTGACATGATAATTTTGCAGACAGGGTCGATTTGTAGACAAGATGTCAAGATTTGTAGACATTATCAAAATCATGCGTAATTCAGAAACTATTTTTAGGGTTTGGTATATTACTCGCACTTTTTCATAATTTAGTGTATTTGTTTTTGAATTTTTTAAATCTAGCTTAAAACAAAATTTTTATAGTATGTTGTAGCTGCCAGATAAGAGCTTTTTAAATCAAAAATTGCCTACTCACTTTGCTTCACATCATGTTGCAAAAACAAAACCTTTTCTGTCATTTGGTGTTCTAGTTGTATTTTATACATATTTATTACTATGATTAATTGTTTAATTTTGAAAACCCTTTATTATAAATTAGCATTGCAAAAGGAATCACAATAACTACTCTGAATGATTCTTGATATAGCAAGTGAATGAAGGGAGAAAATAACAGAGAAAAAAAGGACAGTGAATGAATGAGTCAGTGAAATATTGAAATCACTTTGTCAATAGATCATTTCATTGACTAGATTATTTCATCATTAGGCCATTTCACTGACAAAAAAATATTTGTTGAAATGAAGAATATTATACTACTATGTATAATGTTCTACTACAGTAAATAGTTCACATTAACGCAGTTTAAAATTTTGTAAGAAACGTTAAAAACTTTTACTATGATAACAATAATAATTACAAAGAATTTAATAAATAAAAAAACGCAATTCTTTTCGCTAGTTAGCAAGCAAAATTACTTCATATTTATAATGTATCCCACATTTTATATTCCCAAGTTTAAATATCTATTTTTCAAGTACAGTCGATTTTTTTTCATCTGCAAGTAATCACTTATTCTGTTATGATTTACATATTAACAAAATTTTCTTACTTAAAGTTTTAATAATTATATGCTTCATAACCAAGATAATCTTAAAGGGGAAAAAATGAACTTTTAAGGGAAAAACATGAATAAGAAGCCATTATGAGGGTAGGTGAGCAGAGTGAGCAAAGGTTCAAAACTTACTAAATCAAAAAACTTGAAAAAATGCATGATGGTGATAAAAAAATGAAAATCTAACTTGGAAAATGTATTGACAAGTATTAATTAAGAACAATTTTGTAACAACCCACTTTCTCATGTCTTAAACAGCTATTCTACTGAGGAAGGGGTGGGAAGTTCCGAGAAATTCTGTATGTACATTTTTGAAATTGAAATGAAATATTATTTCAAACAAATTTTAGTCTCTTCTTTTATTTCAGTTTATTTATTTAATTATTTATTTATTACCCTTTAGTAATTTATAGTTTATTTTTATCCTATGCGTTCATTAAACACTAATAAATTCCTTTACCTTTAAAATGAAGACATCAATTGCAAATGGTGATAGTTAGTTACTAAATTTTTCAAAATTTATTTTCTTGTTTAAGTCCACTGAACAAATATGGTTTTTAATATATATATATATATATATATATTTATATTTTAAAAAAATATCCTCAAGGAACCTCCTATAGATATATATTCTTTAATTTCATAGTTTCTGAATTTTTTTTGTGCCTCCTGGTTTGTTTATGCCAGAAAATAGTCAAAATTTCGGTTGGTGATCAATCCTGCTTATTACAGTAGTCAGAAAATTGTATTGTCATCCTATACAGTAACAGTTAAAATTTAGAGCATTTTAACTAGTTGAAAAGTGGTTGAAGATTGGACTGCAAGATTTTCTTTCAATAGTAATAGCTACTTATTTTTACGTTGGAATTATAGATTGGATTTTCTGATAATTAAGAATATGAATTGAGCATAAATTCTGCACATAAAAAGGAATTAATTCATTATTTATTTAACTATTTTTTGGAAAATTCATAACTTATGGAGAAAAAAGAAAATATTTTTCTATAGAGCTGGCGCAAACACGCTTGCAGCATTATAATGATTACATGCCAGTGTTTCTCAAAATTTTTGGTCCTATGACTAGCAATTTAAGTAATGTAGAAATATACAACCTCCAAGATGGATAATATGTAAATATTATATTTGGGTTCCTACAGTTCCCAGAATATTCTAATAGTGATAACTAAACTAAGTCGAAGTTTGATTATTTAATAAATTTGTGCCCACCATAACATGTCATTTTGTGATAAAAAATATATTTGTTTGAGTCTCTAAACGTTAAAATGGCATTTTATAAAAAGGAAATTCCTGCCCGAGTTAATGCAAATTTAATAACACTAAATGACTATTTTGATATTGACCTTTCCATAGTAGGCCCACACTTATGTGTACACACTCATTAGTAGTAATGAGTGTAACAGTTAATAGATCTTTTCAACTTATCATTGATTAATTGAAAAATGACAATTCAAATGTGACTATCAAAATACGAAATAAGCATATTGGTTCATACTAGTATATCTCCGAATGTTAAGACGATAAATAAAAAGTTTAAAATTGCAGCAATTAAAATAAAAAATTAGAAGTTACTTTTCCAACATAAAATCTTTTTTTCCATTTGCTACTTAATTTAGTGTTTTGTCTTATCATGTGAATGAAGTGAGACTTCGTGCCGGAATTTACAGAGTTTTTGATTAATAAATAACAGAAATATTCGATTTGTCTACTTTAGTCCCATGTTCACACTAAAACTTGTCTCTCTCTAAATTTACTTGCAAGATACCACACGTTTTGCACCAGTTTAGTAATGCGTATAAAATTATTTAAGGCCCATGATTATTCTTATTGCCATGGGAACATCACTGAATTTGCTAAAGTGTAATTAAAAAATTTTATAATTTTTAAAGAAAAAAAAATTTAAAATTGACATTTCTCCAGCCAAATTTTGGTGAAATTATTGTTTGAGTAACAGCTACTTTTTTGATGTTTTGACGACCGTCTTTTTCGCTCATAAGTTATGCAACAATTTAACTATCCTTATTCTCAATTTTCTCTCTCGTCAAGAAACAGAGAACAGAGTGCACGTTTTTAAAAAAATTGTTTTGGCAAAAATGATCACTTGGTATCATTTATAATAAAGTGTTTTTGGATACTTTAACTATGAAACTGGAATAATTAGGCTACAGTACAGGTGAAAATTAATAATTTATTTCTTAAGATAGGTATTTTTTTCCCAATATTATAAGGTTATTATATATTATACTTTTTAAGAATATTCTGAACAGCTTTGTTTCTGAGAGGATAATTAGCTTCAGTAAATTGGTTATCAAATTTATAAAACCAAAAAATTTATCTTTATCAATAAAAAATATTGTACAAAAATATGAGAAACAAAGTAAACTAATTTTTAAATGCTAATTGCTAGCTTCTAAATTAGTAGTACTTTTTATTATTTGTAATAAACTTACACTTTTTTTTATTACCTTTTACATTCCACACACCTTAACAAATTTCAGTCCTTATTATGTAATTTGCTATAAATTACGGGAGTGAAATGAAGAATAAAAAATTTATTACACAATTATAAAATTATCTGTAGTTTGATAAGTCAAAAGTTGATAAAAAAAATTTGATCAAAACTTGTTCAGAATATATTGCATTTTAATATTATCATTTTATTAATTATTCTAAAATGACCTTTTAACTTACAAAATAGGAAACACATAAAATGAATAGAAATCATTCAAAACTAAGAGTTTTTAATAAGTTTGCAAATCACCGGTTTAATTTTTGAATTGTTCTATGTCTGCCACACAGTTTTAAAAAAATACTGTTAAACATATTAATTTATCTATTTTTAAATTTTTTGAAAGGAAGCTAAGTCTTCCTTTTTTTATCCACTACAAGGGCAGTGCTGTAGTGTGTTTTTCTATCAATTATTTTTTTCAATCACTGAAATTTTTTTAATGAATAACAAATAAACCAAAATATGCAACTTGTTATAACTATATTAGAAATTGTAATAATCGGTTACTATTATTTGTATTGGGCTCTTCAGTTAATTTATTTATAGTGAGAGTTTTATTTTATTGAGTAGTTCAGAATACGAATTATCAGAAACTTACTCAATTTTTACTGTTTTGCTGTAATCCAAAAATAATTATTTTCAAATATAAGCTTGATAAATTTTTTTTAAAGAGAGTCATTTATTTCTAAACTGTGTTCAACTCTAAGCAAAATTATTTAACAATGTTGTGTTTGTAAATTTTTAAAACTTAATTTTACTTAGTTAATGTAGATGTCTTTACTTTTGCTTTGTCTGAAATAAACATAATAGTATCTGGTATATGTATAATTTACAAAGACTTTATATTTCGAATCAACAGCAATTTTGAACACACATATAAGCAATATTATTACACTTAGATAGTTCATTTGATATAATTTTATTGAAAATCTATTTTTGATTATATAAAATATGATCTTTTACATTATAATTAAGATGATTACATACTTCAAATAATGCATTTATTATCTTTAAAATAAAGCAATGTTTTGTGAAGGGTGCTAATTTAAGATTTACCATAGACGCTTTCCCTAGATACGCCTCTGATATATAAGTGGAAAAAAAGGGTCAAAAAAATAATAAGGAAGTAGCCGTCATTCAAACAATAGTGTTACTAAGATGTCTTTATTTCAGCATCATTTCTCATAGAAATTTTTAATTTTTAAGGAGTTTACAATTTAGGTGAACCTTTAGAATAGGTCATATAAGCATTTTAGAAACAAAATATATCACATTAGTGCTAATTTCATGTGAAATTTACCAATATACATTATTTGTTTTACACTATTTTAATACAGAGCCTTGTTTGTGAGAAATTTGGAAAAACCTGTAGAAACGCCCTCTTTCAGGACAAGTTTTTGATCTAGGAGCAGATGCTAGACTCCCTGAAGGGGGCAAAGCTTAAAATTGCCACATTGAGACAATACGTAAGCAATTAAAACAAAAATCCTTTGCCAGAAATTTATTACTTATTGAAATCCCTAACTACTGGCATAAAAAGGCAGAGATAGAAATAGTAAATCGATTTATACAAACAATGAAATCTATGTTTCAGGGATATGCTCGAATGGTGTAGTTTTTTATTTTAATTTAATGTTTATTATGAACATTTGACTATGGGAAAACTATCAAGAGGTCTTGTAAAAGAAGTTTGTATATACCTATATCAATACAAATTTTAAAATGAATAATGTTACATTTCCAAATTACATATATGTTTTTACAAACTGATATTTTAAGAAATTGACTATAATAAACATCTGACATATATCACAAGCAAATATGTATGTTTTCCAACTAATTGGTTTATTAAATTTATGTAGCTAATTATAATTGATTCTGATAATGAATCTTTCTTAAAATACATAGGCTATTTTTATGTAGAATTCAATGTCTGGTTGAGCTAACATATAAGAAATATACAAATAGCATAAAAACATGATATAAGAAATGATAATAAATAATGATTCAATCCTTTCTTTATGTTGACAACCAGCCAATCTTGGCCACTAAAGCGAAGTTAATGCATGCAGTCAACTTACACAGGCTTCACAAGACAATTTTTTATTTTGCAATTTATAAAAGTAAAAAGGTTCAATAATTGAAATAATATATAACAAAAAACTACCTCCAATTGGTGCAGCAAAACTGCAAGCAACTCCGACTGCACATGCAGCAGCAAGCATTTCACTTGTCCGAGATTCATTCTAAAAAAAATTAAAATTAAAAAATCATATCTGAATTCATAATAAGGCTTGTTCAAATTCGTAATTAGTATCAAAATAATTAACAAACATCAAAAACATTCGCATTTTTAAAACTAAAACTGAAATACATACTTCGTAAATGCCTTTAAATGATGTAACCAATTTACTAAGTAGTGTAGCGACAATGCTTGCAACATGAACAAAAGGGCCCTACAAAAATTTAAAACTAAGGTTAGTTGTTTTTCAATTAAAAATAAATAAATGTAATTTTATAATACTAAATACTGCAGTAATCCAGAAATTAGCATTAGAGAGAAAAACTAATGCAACTAAGTACATTGGATGAATAATTATTACCACCTAATAAAAAAAATTACAATTAAATAGAAATTTACATTTGAACTACCGTAATTTATGGAAGAAACACCGCACCTATCGTAAACGCCGCACTTGTGATAATGAGACTTAAAAGAAAAAAATCATGGTAAACGCCGCACCCATAATAACGATTTAGCGGCAAAAGTGAATATATAACATTAATTCCTTATAAATACTGCTAATGTTTTAAATTAAAATATAAATTAATATTTATAAATGTATAATTATAATAAAATCAAGAATGTAATTTGCTATTGTATATTTTGGAAAAACTGCTCAGAACAACATGTTACAATCGGCTGTTGGTGCCATCGTTAGGTAAAAAATTTAAATAACTATATTTATATTACTTTAATATAAATGATTTCTTTTACATTACAGTATAGGACCCAAAATTTGGCACTCACGGGACCGCCGAAATTCCGTATTTCGGAATTTGCAGAATTTCGGATCTCTTCCGGAAATCCCAATATGGCGCCCGTATATTACGATAATTCAATTACGCTGCTAATTTCAGAAAAACCAATAAATTTAGCTAAGTTTCAATTGAAGATTTTGATGGGGTGAATTTAAAACTGTCCCATCTTTAGAAATTTCATTAATTAAAATAATAATCTATAAGATATAACCACGAAGAAATAATCCGAAGGATAAATAATTCAAGATGAAATAATCCGAAAAAGAAATAATCGTTTCTTCTTCAGAGCGAGATCATTGTTCTCGTTTTTTCTTTTACATAACATTTTGTTTTAACATAAGATGCTCACCTCGGAAAAAAAAAGCTAACAAGGAAGTACAAAAAAAGTAACAATTAATGGCAAGAACCTATCAATGATTAACTACAAAAAGAAGCAAACAACTAATAACGATAAAAAAAAAAACAAGTTAACAAAAAAAAAGTAACAGTTAATAAGCAATAAAAAGATAAATAAATCGCATTTTTTTAAAAAAAAAAGCAGCAAAAGGGATAGAATTCATTTTGTACACCAAGTGAGAAAGATGTTTCAATGTCAAAAGGGTGTGGCTAATTTATAGTCAGACAGAAGAGGGAAATGTGGGGGGACAAACCAGTAAAGCACTTGCAGAGCTGTCAAGATTGATTCATCAGTTTCTCCCAACTTGCATTTCTTTATTTTGTTCATTGGAAATGCAGATGTTTTTACTTTTCAATTTCACTTTATTTTAAACTGCTTTAGGAACAGATGTTTTGTTTGCCACAGATTTATAATTTTTTCTCTTCATGTTTTTATTTTTAAAAGATAAAATATAGTTACTTCCTTCAAGAGAAAAAAATTCCAAATAAAAAGAAAATATGACTGATTTTTTTTTCTCTTATCATTAAAATTTCTTTAAAAAAAAAAAAAATTGGTCGGATTAAGTGCCGAATTTCGGGTTCCATACTGTACTACATATTTACATTTTATAAATATTTTTTTTTAATTTAATTTATTTATTTTTTGGAAATATACCTCTTTTATTCCAATAAGAAGATATCAGTTTATAAGTCGCGTTCATAACAACGATGTATAAATATTAGCAAATACTAAAGAGAAAACTTTCCGCAATTTAATTTCTCCACAAAGCACGTTCTAACAAAGAAACAGAGTGAGGAAAAATGTGAAAGAGCTATCAATCAAGCGGTTTTGCGGGAACTAGATCGAGATCAACCCACTTTCTTTAAGGGGTGGTGGGTTATCAACAGTGGCGCCATCTTTTGCCATAATTCGAAACTATTTTGATTTAAAAAAAAAAATTTCTTTGAAAAACGTAAAATTTATTTTTAAAATATCGTAAACGCCGCAACCGGCATAAACGCTGCAATTAAAATTTTAAAACTTTTAAACTCGTAAACGCCGCGGCGTTTCTTCCATAAATTACGGTATATAGAATTATTCAAAAGCTGCTTGAATTAAAATTATTTAAAAACAATAGTTTAAAGTAAATATTTTCTGAGAATGCTATTTTAAATTGAAAAGTTAAAACAGAAAAATAATGATTTCATGATAACGAACAGTAGAAATGAATTCATGATTTACACGTTAGTTAATTATTTAACTAAAATTTAGCATAATTTTATTTCAGTAAAATTTTTTGTGTGAATTATAATTTATTTTGATTCAATTCTTTGCTTGCATCCAAAGCAATAGAAATATTACAATCTGATTTTGTTTTTCAGGAGTAAGTTTGATTACAGAGTTTAAATTTTCAGTTACTTAGCTTAAAATCCTATAATTTACTGATTAGTTTACCTCTGATCTGCTTATTTCATGATTTCTATAAACAAAATTCAAAGGACAGTGGAATGTAGGCGAGGGAAGGAAATGTGAAATTTGCCTTTTAATTGTATTCCTTTAATTTTCTTAAAAAACTGATGATGTATATTTATTGAACATGGCAGTATCTTTTAAAGTATAATATTCATAGTCATCTCCCATTCAGCATATGAAGTACATTCTGAATGGAATCTTCCTTAGAATTTCTACAGATTTTTATTATAAAATTAAACAAATACAATCCAGTTTTCAATGTGTTCAGATAGGTAGTTCAGTATTATACCTTTTTCTAATTTTAGATTTTTGAAAACTATTTAGGCTTTTGCACAATTAATCTTAAATGAATTTTTCAGCAGAAGGTTAATTTCACAGTAAAGTCAACCAGGTGACCAAAATTTTAAAATTAATACTTTCAAGCAAACAAGGTATCATTTTGAAGGTAAAAAACTGAAAATTTAGAAATAATACAGGGGTCTGTTTAGAAGAAATTTGGGTCCGTTAACGGACCCTTCACAAAATATCTTTTAATAAAAACGGACCCTTCACAAAATATTTTAACTTAAAAACGGACCCTTCACAAAATAATTTATCTTTTATTCGGACCCTTCACAAATTTGTTTATCTTCATTATTGTTTTGTTAATCAATAAACCTTTCCCAGGAAGGGGGGGGGAAGAAAGACAGATGTAAACGAACTAAATTTTGTCTTTGGTAGACACTTCTTCCTTTATTCGTCCGAAATTAATATTCTGCGTTCAGCAGTATAGGCTAAATACCAAATATTTTTAAGTTGCATCGCTAATTTAGAAGCTGCAATTGCTGTTTATTTTTTAAAATTTAATTTTTTTAATTATAATTTTACAGTGTTGAGCATAATCTTGTATGTCTTTACAATTTCAAAACTCCTTGAAAAAGTTTTTTTGCAATAACAAACCCCATTTTCACAAATTCACAAACAAAAACGGACCTTTCACAAAATGTCTCGACAGATCCCTGTAATAACTTTTAACTTATTAATATTAGTTTTAAATAAATTATAGGCAGTTAAATGAAAAGCTACATCATTTGAAATTTTTAATCAATGTAAAGAATCTCTAACAAGTACAGTTTTTTTGAAAAATTCACACTATTAATAGAAAATGAAATAAATAATAATTAAACAGTATCAAGACAGGTAGTCTAGCACAAATGGGTTGAAACATTTCACATTTTTATCTACAAAACGTGCACTTTTGCACGATGGGACTCTTGTTATTTACGTCCAACCGCCAAAATACATGATTTATAGTACCCTGCTACTAAGATTTAACAAAATAAAAGTATTTTCAGTTTTTGGCAAAATTCTATGTCACATTTGTATAATCTTTTGGTTTTATATATCGGTTTTATTATTAACTTAAAATAAAAATAATTTTATTGTAAATTGATAATTAATTATTTTTAGATCAGACACCATTGATTTTCTTTTCATTACATTTGTTTTTACCTATTTCCATCTCATATTTTGCTTTTTCTTTATAAAATGAAGTGAAATAAGAATCAAACCATCTAAACATTCTTTTAAGTTAATTTAGAATAATGTATTTCATCTCACTAACCTAATAAAGATTGCTTAACTATGCTGCATTTAAAGTTATTTATATTATGAACTTAAAATAGATCAATAAATTTTTTTTCTTCATTTTTTTCAAGATAAGCAACTCAATTTAAATTTCTTGAGAAGGAACTTAACTACATTTAGAACATTTAAAATCAATTATTTTGCTTAGCTAGAAAGAAAAAATGCATGTATTTTGAGCCAAGCTTTTTTTTCAGAATATTCTGCAGTTACTTATTTTTTTTGTATTTATTTGTTAAATAAAGCAACTTTGACCCGTATTCAGAAACAGTTCTTGAGTTTATGCACATGTTCAATTTTACTTTAGTTAGCATGAATGCTTGCTGAAGGGCTGCCATTTGCATTCAGATGAAAGTACCAGATCTTGCTACTACAAGATAGTGCACCAGGGACAAACTCAATTTTTGCGCCTTGACGCATACAATAAATATTGATGATATAATGTCAGACTTAAAGAATTTTTTTAGGTATCTTATAAGTTTAGATTCTATGAAACTAAATTCCTTAATTAAATCTTACATGGAAAAAGATTTCACAATTTCAAATTAACGAAACTCGATAATGTAAAAACGTTACTCTAATTTGATTTAAAATTGAACAGTATATGTTACCAATACAGTTCCTATTATACTTAGATGTTTGCTGTGTTTCATTGAATGATAAGCATTTATAGTTTCTTACTGTGATGCCAAGTTGCAAAAATAATTTAAAAAATAATAAATCTATATGCAAAGCAAACTACAATAATGATACATATCCTTTCAATTTTTAGGTAAGTCGGATAAAAATTTAAAGTAGTTATTGGGCCCATAATTGGCAAATGAAACTGGGGCAGGGATATTTAAAAGATAAAGAAAATTATTTTGAAATTCATTTTTAATTATTTCTAATAAATTTGATGCATCTCTTAATCTACTACCAGGCATATATGCTCTTTCTTGTCCCCCGCTAGCTATGCCACTTAATTCAAGTAAAAGGTATATCGATCAATATTGTCTGCTTTGATACAAATACAATAGATTGTAAAAACTGTATGAAATAATTTTATGCAGGCTACATGCAATAAATAAAGCAATAAAATCAATATTTCACCCATGTGAAAAGATTTCCTTTTTTAGTGACAGTTATTAATTCCTTTTTTACTTTTTTTAATTCCAGGATTTTTAAAATCATTAGTTATGTAAATATTGCTTAAATATGAGTTGTATTTACGTTATTGTTAAGTTACAGCACAGTTAAATTTTAAATTTTTTATGGAAAATGTTATAAAACATATTGATCCACCAATTCTAACAGGAAATTTAAATTTAAAGAAGCTATTTAATGAAAAAATGCTTTTAGTATTAACATAAAAGTTAAAGGAATTTCCAGTATAATTGTTATCTTTAACTCTAAATTTTATCCAACTTGAAGAATTTAAGTTAGATACCAAATTAGTTACACATCATATATTATAAGTTAAGAACTGCATAGAATTCTTTGTTCAAACCTCAGTTTTGAAATTCAGAAAATTAACATTTAAATTACAAACAAATTCATAGAGTTTAGACAATTTGTAAATGAGTAATCATTTCTTGCTTTCGTGTAATTTATGTCCGACACCAACAATTTAATTTGAACTTATTATAATCAGTTTTTATAAAACAAACTATTTTTTGATAGATCATGATATACCAAATATTTGATACAAGAAATTGATTTACTTATATTTCATGAGAGTTTCTTTAAGAAATTTAATGTTCATTTTTTACGTCCGACATCAAGGAATTGCCTGGAATCTTAATTCACTTTTGCCAAAAAAATTAAAACAAATAATGAAAAAAATGTGCAGAAGTTTTAAAAGTGTTTAAGCTCTATTTCCCAAATTTCGGGAAAGCTTTTTGATTACACTTTATTTTACAGATATGCTGTAGAGTGTTATTCCATCATTAACAGTTTTTTAAAAAAAATATGGTTAAAATAAAAATTTGAACCTAAAAATAATATATTGAAGAAAAGATGCTAGAGTTGAATTTCTTCATTTCTTTACTTAAAAGTTTATAATTTCAAACTTGAAGAAGCATATTTATATGATTCAGGCTTTAGATATTAAATTTAATTTTGATCAATGAGTGAAGTTAGTTGTCCACTAATTCTTCTATAAAATTTGTGAATCAGTGTTTTCAATGTCATGTGAGAAATATTTTATAAGATATACCTGAAAAATTTGAGTGGTCATAGGATGGGACTAATAAGAATAATAAACAAAAAATGTTAGAATCAAAAAATTTAAAATTTATTAAAAGAAAAGAAGGAAATGTTAATACTGAGATAAGAGTGTTTCCATCATTTTAATAAACACTTGCATTTGTCTTAAAAAAACAAGATTAACACCTCTTTTCCAATGGGCAAGCCACTTCCTAATGAACATGTTAATCCAACTACTTTAGAAACTAAGGTTCTAAATGTTAAATATTCCTTTAACACTACTCCACGTAATACAGTTTTCATTTCAGGAATGCCAGAACCTAAAGAAGATAGGCAGATTATTGCTAAATTTAGAATATGTAAACATATAAAAATGAATATTCATTAAAAGTATAGAGAATTTAAAACAAAACCAAAATGTATTGATTATGGCTAACAAAAGTTAAGTGAGTTTAGAAGTTGTCATTATGCTTGAGGCATTATTAATTAGCTAATATAACTGATAAAAAATTATGCATTTATAACAAAGTAAATCATTCACCATAATTTCTATAAAATTTTAAAAAAAGGATGTAATTTCCTTAATTTTAAGTCAACAGTTTCATATTGAAAAACAGAGCTAAATGAATATCTTTTAACTGATTTTTTACACTGCTCAATAACATTTCTACTTCCACATTTTAATGATAAACACTTGTAGCATTGTAACACTACAAGTAAACACTTGTAATACATTCTCGGTTACCTTTTTTTGACCCTCCTTGCACTGACATCACTACTAATAAAATCAACTTGTTACTATATCAATGATATCAAAACCTAATGCATACCCACCAACGTTTATGCGAAATTTTATTTTTACATTTAAAGTGGTCGTAAAATTTTTTCTTTTTATTATTTGCATTTATAAATTTAACTTAAAATAGTTTTGACCTCCACTTTATTTTAACAAAACAAACATATATATTTATCAATGTTAATCTCACGTTTGCATGCTTAAACTACTATGAAATTCAAAGTATGTTTCTGCCTGTAATTGTAATTAAATTTTGATTATACTACCACTTGGAAAAGCCATTCTCAAAATGATTAAAAGTTGGCAGGTATGCATTTTGTTTCCTTTTTTTTCTTGTATCTTTCAAATTTTATTATCATGTAGGTTAAGAGATTTTTACCCATTTTAACCAATAATAACATAGGTTAAAAAAAGATGATTGTTGAGTATCAATTTCAATTCTATTTCTTAATGCATTATTTAATGGCCTTTGTTCAGGAATAAAAATTTGTATTCTCTAAAAACAATTAGCTTCTTTTAATCAAAGAAGGTTTCTCTAATTCAGATTTAAAATCAAATTCATAAGAAAATTAATGACGAATACATCCTTAAAGTGGATGGCGTTTTCAATATCGATGTAAGCAATAACAATTTAGAGCTTTTTACCTGCTCTAGATCCAGTTAGAAAGTTTGCAATTGCTTACTACAGCTTATTCTGCAAGGTGATATTTTCAAACGGATAATTTTGTTTTCAATAAAATAAATAAATTAGATAATATCTGAGCTCAAATCTGCTGTTTTTCATAAGATATTAATGTTATTAAGTAATTCTGGTGAGTTTGAAATAAAAATTTGTTTTAGTTATTTATAGATACATTGTTAAAAACGGTGACATGGTTGCTAGATTTTTTTGGCGGTCCTGATTTGGCTTTTTCCATTTGTTTATTACTGTTTGCTCTTGTTGCGAGCTGTGCACCATCTTACGTTAGTGTTAGCATATTGTTCGAGCAGCAAGATTAAGTTTATAAATTAAAATTCAGGTTCAAATTTGACATATATTATTGAATATATGAGTTGGCATAGATTATTGAAAAGGTAAGAAGTGTTTTATAACGATTCTTTTTTCAAAATGTTAGGTTTACATATTTATTATTGATCAAACCACGTGTTACTTCTACCTAACATTACTATTTCACAATTAATGCTAAAATTATATACCCTTTATAATTTTAACATTAATAAAATGATATAAGCGTACAGTCTTTTCACTATTTTTCTTATTATATAATGACATCTTTATCAGTTATTGGATGTGGTATTTAGACTTAGAATTCATTGTTAACACAAGTAATAATTAAACAAATAAATACAACGTTTGCAAGAACTACTATTCAAAAGAATCTCAAAACGCAATAATCATGTTTTGAGTCAAATGGCTTCAAAATACACCAGAAACAGTAACCCAGAAGTATAGGTGGTGAGGAGCCTGCAGCGCTCTCTAGTGCAGAAAACACCATCCATAGGACAAAAACTTTTTCATGGACTTAAACAATTAATCATTGGTTATTGGCAAATCATTGGTATTGTTTTTCAATGGAAAGATTCTGTGCTTATTGATTTTGTTTTTATTAAAAGATTTGAAACACAATAAAAGTTAAAGAAAAATAAAGCAAAATATACCAGATAGCTTTTTTTCTTTAGCTGATATTGAAAAGCTGCATACAACTCACAAGTTCATTCTATTTTTAGAAATTATAAAATAAAAGCTTTAAAAACCACAATAATAACTTTCATTTAAGCTTGCAATTTGGGTAAGGGAGTCAAAAGAAATGGATCTGTAACAGAAGTTAATTTGCTGAATGATTTTTGATCCAATAATAACACTACATGAGAAGTGGGCAATTTGAGGAGAGAATTTTCTAATTTCCCTTGTTATTTCAATGGAAGGAAATCAATAGACGATTTTTAATTATAAAAAGTCTTAAAATATGTTCTTTTACTGTGTTGCACTTGGATCTATGAAGAATCTCATAAAAGGAGGAATTTGATAGGTAGTTTTATCAAATTTTGGCATTACAATTGCATTACTTACTTTATGAATGAAATTTCAGCATATGCTTTTTTTCCTTAAATGTGATTATTGCATTTCATTCATTCTAAAATCTAAATTTATACATTTAAAACTGTCTTACAAGTGAATATAAACATGTAAGAAAACTATTTAACCATAAAGTAATGATTACATATCATAGAATTATTTGAAATTTTTATTTCCTCCCTGTTTTGTTTCTTTACACTGTATTTTTTTTTTTCATATCCTGATTATAATCCAGGGACTATCTGTTAAAAAGTATTAAACTGGTTCCTGCAGATAATCTTGCAAAATTATTTTCTGCAAATTAGAAATCGTGAATTTTCCATATGCTTTCATCAGCTATAAAGGTGAGGGACTATTCACGTTGGATGTGAAACATTTGCTTATGTAAATTCAAAAATGCAATTTTTCTTTTAAAATAATTTTAAAATTATCATTACAAATTAATATTATCATTACAAAATTATTATTATACAGTCAAACCTTGCTATAGTGAACACAGTTTATAATGAATTCCTGGATATAGTGAAAGAAATGTTTGGTCCCATGCCTTGTTATACATGTATAATGTTATTTTTTGTGGATAAATTGAACAAAAAAAAAAGTGAGGAAGTTATGAACCTTTTTCTGTCTTCGACTGATTTTTTTCCTCATTTTTTTGTAATAATTTTGAAATTTCTGCTTCAAAATAAATACATATACTGAATTTTAAAACCATCTATAGAGTGGAATTTAGGGATAAGGATTTTTCTCGTTTGCTTCTTTTATCTCACTTTCCTATCTCTAAACAAAGGTTAACCCAGGCAGATGTTGCACATTGTAAGGGGTCAGTGGGGTCAATATCCATTTTTTGTCAGAGGGAGTGCGTTGGAATGCGTACTTATTCATTATTAGTCAAAGTGATGGATCTGTGTTAATAAGGTCCTCCTCTCAACTCCTTTTTACTCTCAGTTTAGTTAAAGATGCCTGCAGATAAGTGTCCCAAATTAGACTATGGCTAGCGGTGAAAGTAAAAGGTTCTCCATTGAAGATGAAATAGGCATAATCAGAAAAATTGAAAATGGATGTAATCAAGCAGATATTTGCAAGGATTATAAATTATCCAAATCTACAATTTGTAACATATGGAAAAATGGCATTTAACAATTTCTGTTCATGAAAAAAATTTAGATGACAGAAAAAAGTTGAGAAAAACGGATCACAAGGATGCTGAAGAAGCATTACCAAAGTGGTTCAGCATTCAAAGAAGCCGCAATCTTCCAGTATCTGGACAAATGCTTTGAGTCAAAGCCAATGAATTTACTAAGCGATTTGATGAGACTACTTTTATGTGTTCGAATTGCTGGTTTGACAGGTTTAAAAAGTGGAATAACATAAATTCAGGAAAAATTATCGGAGAGTCAGGAAGTGTTTCTATATCTGATGCTACTGATGTTGTCTTGTACTGATTTTGAAGACTATATGAAGGTTTTTAAAAATGTTTTAAAAACTGTCCTTTCATGGGCATGGACAACCTTGGCCTTAAGGTTCTTTTCTGGAATGCCGGTGGCCTTACTATTGACAAGTTCATCTGCTCTTAGGGACTTAGCTGATGAAAAAGTGTGGGCTAGCCTTCTTGATGACCAGCAGCGCTCTCACCTTTCCCTCCTTCCCAGAGCCGAAGAAGTTGCTTGTCTTAGAATAATTACTTGACATGACCTTGCAGGCCCACCTATTTAAAATTAACCTCAGGGGTCTGTCTAGGTTTTTCTGAGAGGTACCTATTTTGTGAAAATTTAGACATAATTTGTGAAAAATTAAAAATTATATTAAAAAATCAACACAAAAATATGGATTTATCTTTTGTTAAGGGATGCAAAAATAAAATTTTAAGAAAAAGTATTTTGTGAAACTACCATTTTTCCTAAAGTTGAATTTGTGAAACTACCATTTTTCCTAAAGTCGAATTTGTGAAGGTACCGCTAAACGGTAGTAAATTCGGCCTGGACAGACCCCTGAACCTGGTCAATTCACCTCGTTGTGTGCTCTGTAACACTTCGCCTATGACTGGGGAGCATCTATTTGATTGCCCCTCTCTTCTTGACATTTGTTCCTGTGATGACTTTTGTGCCCTCTCACCTTCTGGGGCTACTTCAGTGTTGTATTGGACTGCAAGACGCCTTATGTCTGAGAAGCTGATGGCGGGCGTAATAAAAAAATTAAAAAAACATTCTGATGTTGATGATTGGAAAAGAAATTTTGGAATGGTATCTCTCAGAAATCAGGAAGACAGCAAGTAAATTCTTTAAAATTAGAAAAAATGCATTTTTTGTTAAATATAATGTTAGCATAATTAATTTAAAATAACAATTTATGACAAAATAACTAGAATATTAAAAATTTTACACAGAAAGTATGTCAGGCAAGTTAAGTTGTCACTCATCAATAATGTGATAAAGAAAAACTAAAAACTAGACTTACCAATTGCTTGAGGTGCAATGATATGTACAAAACCAGATGCAAATAAAATAAGAGTGAGAGGAAATGCAATCCAAGCTAAATACTGTAAAAGTGGATGCCTCGCTAAATCACGATATAACCAAATTCGAGCTATGAATAAATAAAACTTGTCATTAATAATAAAATTTATCTAATAAATTGATCATCAAATATTAAACATATTTGTATTGAAAAACAGGGAATATATTCTAAATTCATTTACTAAATCCTCAAAGTAATTAAAATAAAAATCTGACTCATGAATAAGGCAGTGTTATAGGCATCAGTAGACCCAATATTAATAGTTAGACTTTGAAGTTTTTGCACAATCTGTTTTTCTTCTTCTTTTTTTAATGGAAAAAGATTTTAAAGAAATTAATCTAGGTATGTTTTCTAGAAGTTAATTAAACCAAAAAAGTGAAACAAAAATACTATTCTTAGTTGTCTTTACTAAAATTTTAAATCTGAAATTGGTCTAATGACAGATAAGAAATGCAAAATTAGTACATTTCTCTTGAATTGAAAATTCATTATTGTGCCAAAATATCAGTAAAAAACATTTAGAGAGATTTGAAGGACTTAAGGTAGCACTCTCAATTGGACTCAAGCATTTCAAAGAATTTGACATCAACGAGACCAACTAAAAGTAAATTAATATTGATTGAGTTTATATACAAGAAAGTTAAACTCATTAAATGTTTACCACAAGAAGACTGCCTTGAGAATATCATCTAGTTTCTTTTGTCAATCAAAACTTTGTAATTATTTGTATTGCCTATTGCTTTTAAGCAAAATGTTTTCATAATTTACATACTTATAAATTGAAACATTGGGAAAGTTTTCTAATTCCTTGTAGGAAAAGCTAGGGAATGTTCAATGTTCTATAACTTTTACACACTTAGTAAAATTTTTTTGATAGAATGAGAAAAGATGATTAAAAATTACTGCAAGTATTTCAAAATCCAAAGAATTGATACATAAGTGCCATAAAGTGAAACTACTATACATTTTTCACCATTCTAAAATTATTTGAATTACATTTTATGAAAAATAAAAACAATTACTATTCCCTAATTATTAATTTATTTACATAGTTTAAAAAATAGTAAATAATAAGAAAATTTGAAATAATTAAAAACAATTTCTTCATTATGCTAAATACATATATTTGTTTGGGAAAATAAATATCTTGAGTACATTGTAAATTTACTCAGTTTGACACACTGCATGTTCCAGGCTTGCTAATTTTTGGAAATGGTTGCAATTTTATTAGCTGCTCCCTAAATGTGTTCTGAATTGTTTTAAATGTGACAAAAGAAAATGTATTGTTTGACTTTCAATATTCAGATTTTTTTAATTAAATTAATTCAAAACAACTTACTTCATTAGTGTAACAAACTTAGTTATAAATATGGAAAATTATGTTTAAAAAATTATTGCATTTGAATAAATTTATTGATAATTTGTAAGCAAAAGTAATGAAGTTTGAGTTATTATTGATGGTATAAAAGTGTTGTTGATAAAGAGGTTGCCTCAAAGACATATCAAGTTGTCTTGTTGGCGATTTGATCAAAAGATGCAAGCATATCTAGAGGTATGGATATGTTGCATTGCTACAGGTGTCAAAATTTCACTTTTCTTTTTCCAAGCTTGGCTTACCTTCTTTTGGTTATCCTATATGTTGTTAACTTTCTTTCATAATATGAGTTCTTCCTCCAAAATTTTTCAACGGCAAAATTGTACTTGGCATATCAAACCTCATACAAATTTGCACAGTAGCACAGTTGGTTAAAGAAGTAAAAGTTTTAAAAGCTAAATTTTGAAAATAGTTTTTTATTACTAACTTCATTTAATTGTTCATAAAAAATATTTTAGAAAATTTTTGTAAATTAAAAAATTTTTTAATTTAAAATTTAACAGTAAGGTACAATATAGTGTACCTAATTTTGTACACTTTTATCTCAGTATAAAAAAATAAAGCTCACTTGTGAGCAATGCAAAAACATGCACAAAAATATTTAGATATTTTATCACAAATTAACCAGCATTATCAACTTTATGTTATAGTTAAACTATATTTTTTCATGAAGAAAATGAATTATAGTTTTTTTAAAATAAAAAATGAACAGAAACTTTTTTTCTTTGAAAAAAAAAAGAAATTTTTAACATTTTTTTAACTATTATTTAAAAAAGAAAGTTTAATAAAACAAGAAAGAAATAAAAAAATAAGAAAAATCTAAAAAACTAAATTAAGTGTAGGGATGAAAAACATTAGATAAGATAAATGGTAGGAGCTAAAAATGAATTGATTTGTGTTTGTAACCTAACGTTTCACTTAATAAATATTCTAACAATGAAAGTTCACAAGTAATTAAGAAATTTCATACTGTTTTCTTAAGTAGTAACTAATTATATTATGAATTGAAATTAAATGGGAGGACCCTTACTTTAAAGTGGTTGAAATGAAAATAATTTTTAAAAAAATTCAATTAGAAACAAAAGTAACACTTCCATGTGTTTTCTTTTTTATTTTAAATGTACATAAATGTTGAAATTTTTGGCTTCCTCCCACTTAACATTTGCAACTGCAACATAAATCACTTTCAGGTAGAAATCTCTACAGGGTGTAATGTAGTTTACATAAAATTCTAAACTTTGTACAGTCATAAAAAAAAATGTGTAACATCAAGACCATAATTTTACTTTGAGATATATTAATATATTTTATTATATATAATTAATTGCAAAAATGTTGTATATGGAACTTTAAAACATTAGAAATTAGATCAATATTTTTCTTAAGCACTAAAAATATAGAATACTTCTCAAACATATGGCAATTGCATAGTCCATTCCAAAACTTATTAATGATGTAAGAATTCCAAGAACTGCTAAAAAAACCCAATCTTCTCCCAGCTTTGCAAATGTGTGATGCCAAATTGATGTGAAATAGCCTGAAATAAAAACTCAACAATGTGTATCATATTAGAAAACACTAATATTAAATTCAAATGTAAAAAGCTTAACATATGAAGTCCTATTTGAAATTCATTTAATAAATTTCAAAGGGGTAAAATGAAAAGGTATTTTTATCTTGATTTTCTTAAAAAAAAAGTAAAATTACTTAATTTTGATTAACTTGAATAAAAGATAATTCAACAACTCCGTATCTAATTTTTATTTCAAAACAATAACTACTAACTAAAATAGTTTTTGATAAGTAACTAGTAACACATATCCAGGGGTGATTGTGAGTCCAAATCAAAATTCTGGAAAATTTCTTGAGTAAAAAAAAAAAGGTTTAAATCGAAAAATTAGAAAAAAATTTAAACAAGGTTTTTTCTTTTTCTCAATTATTTAGTTTACTTAAAATATATATAAAATTTTACACATGCCTATGATGACCTGGAGAAGTAATTGAAATTTACAAAGATGTCTTTCTTTCTAGAGTTTATGATTATAATAACTATTTACTAATAAAAAATGAATATTAATCTTGAATATAAGCTTTTCAAGTATCTGGCTCTCCCTTACAAACAAATAAAATAAACTGTGTGTTTAAGTTCCACCTAAATAAAAATTTGATTTCCGGAAACTTTTGCAATCAATGATTTTTTGAAGCATCTGAACCTTCGATTTCCGGAAACTACCAGATCACGGTTAGCGAAAAATCCGGATTTTTTCCGGAGCACAAACAGCTCTGCATATCGTAAATCATTAAGATTCAATGTTGAAAGTAAAATTTTGATTAGAAAAGTTAGTCAATTGTATTACATTTACATGTGAAATATGTTAGTTAGAATGGTTCAACAACAATTTCGAATATGAATTAAATTTTTAAGGAAAATTTAGGCAAAGCAAAAAAGATCATGTGTTTTTATCAACAATTTATTCTCAAGATAAAATTTTATGCTGATAAATTATTATTGTAGTTGCCTTACTTTAAAAACAAGATTTTGAGAAAAACATGTTTAGATGTTAAAACATGTTTAGATGTTAAAACATGCTCTGAAATATAGAATGCTTAAATAAGATTTTTTTTTTTACGTAATAAAGGATACAGATCTTTCTCTTTACTACAAACTTTTAGTCTTATCATCAGGCTGTAAGAAATAACAATTTCCTTTTTTTTTAATTTTAGAATTACCTCTACATTTGAAATAAAAAAATAAGTCTTTATTTTCCAAAAACTCTTAAATTTTTTATTTAAGATTTTATTTTAGACTCTGATGTAAGTATTACCATTCTTGAAATTGCAAAAGTTATCCATTAATTACATATTTTCATAAAGTTTGACAATTATATGAATAATAAACTACACTCTTTTTCTTAAAAAAAAAAGAAAAGAAAATTTACAATTCAACTTTTGAGTTTGTGTTCTCATTTGAAGTAATATTCCCTTTTATTGCTCTAAACTACATTAATGCATTAATTTTATTATTAAAAATATTGCTAACAACGTTAAGTTTAAAAACATACCTGCAACGCGTCGCTGCCAAGCACTTCGATAAGTTTTTAACTCTTTTTTTCGTATTGTCTCCTCCTTCTTTCGCAACTTTTGTAATGATTTAATTCTTTTTGCTTCTGCTTTTGCATATGCTTCGAGGTCCTCTTTATACTGGCCATACATCTGTAAAAAGTACACATAGTTGCAATGAATTAAAGCTTCTCTAGTAACACTTCAATGTTCTATTTTTACGATTAAAAGAATAAGATTTTAATTAAGTTGAAGAGGAAATAAAATAATAATAATTAAAAATTTTAGGGCACATTACCAAGCACTTTGAAGCCTGCCAAGACCTAAAGATTAGGCAATTTAAAGCTATTTCTCAAACTTTTATGCCATATGAAAAAACACATTTTAGAGAACAAGTTTTATTTCTATAAGTGCTGTAAATTTATAAAATTTATTCAAATAACTTTTAGGTTCAGGCTATTTCTAACTGGCCCCTTTAATGCTAAAAATGAAAGTCACACAAAATTTAAATATAAAAAAATTCTTAATTATTGTAAAAATTGCGAAATATTTTTTATATATTTACTCTTTCACTTGTGGCAGAATTTTTCCGAGCTATCTGTGACAAAACACTCGAGCACTGATATCTTTCTGTATGATACTTGCAATAATAATAAACATATATGTTACCAATTTAAAATAGCAAAAGCGCTGCAATTCATCACAATGAAGAAAATAATTAAAAATCATGAAATCCATAGTAGGAATTGTTGAAAAAAAGATCGACGACGAAATGACGCGAATCAGACTCTTTAAATGCGTATTTCCCTTCGAGATTAGGTTAGAATAAATATTATCGTATGAAAAATATCGGATTTAAAAACTAAGGAGAAATCAATAGCAATAAGTGCCAATAATTCGATAGAATTATAGCCTTAAAAAGTAAATATTAAAATGCACGATCCGAATTTTCCATATTGTTTGAAATATATCGGGATATTTGAAATTCACATGAAAAAGTGAAAATCAATAACAATAACTGCTGAAAAAATACAATCGAAACACTACATCGATTTACGATACTATGGAGTAAATTGAGCGTGTCAAAAAGTGATTATCTGTATGCATGATTCAAATATTACGTGTAAATTTCTGTAAAAAAGAAAAGTAAATTTTTTTTAAACTTTTCAAAAGAAAAAACTTTCAGCAAGAACTCTGTAACATTCGCGACAATGTCGCCGTGATTCTGCCACGGGGTTCACTACATTGTTCACAAACATAAAAAATCATAGCAAAAATATTTGAATACTAAGAAATATTAATTTATTTGAATTCATTTTTGTGAGGGTGAAAAATTTGATAAATTCACATTTTTTTATAAGTTAAACTTTTCAAAATGATCAGTTTTTTATAGAGTCAAACCTTTCAGCAAAATAGTTATAAATATTACAATAAAAGCTTTGTATCGAATTTAAAGTACTCAAATTCTGCTTTTTTTTTTCATTCTTTTCGGTGAAAGAGCTTTGACAAAGATCTTTAAATAAAAAATTAATTGACAACTTTTTCTAAGTTTTTGGTTAAAAACTAAAGCATATGTACTCTTATTTTAAAATGTGCTTCATATTTTAGTTAACTTACAGGCAAAATACAAAATTATCATAATGCCTAATCAGCAATTAATCTAAAAAATGTTAATACAGGAAATAGGTATAGTTATGAAGTTTGATTGTAAAATAAATTTCTAATCTGTCTCTAAAAACATGCATATTTAAAAAAAAAAATTATGAATTTAAATTTTACTGCCTTCAATGTACCAATCTCTGTTAACCTAAAATGAGAACAGAGCAGGAAATAATCAATGCTTCCAGAGTTTCATTTTTATTTATCATTATTATTTTACATTGTATCAATGGAATCAAATTTTTTCTTTAAAATCCCCACTTGATTAAGAAAATGAAAATAAAAAGATAATTACATGGATATGGTGGTTATTCTAAGAGAGCAATGATATATTGATCTAGGAATGATATGATTAACTATTGCATGAGTTATTGATAAAAATCATAAAAATAGGAATTTTTTAAATTTTTTTAAGGAAATAATCATGAATTCTTTTGATTTGGAATCATAATATTTTGTTTACGTGAAAAACTTCCCTGGTTCATTAAATTTTTTATTTTAATTTCATGAACTGACGTTACCCATCACAATTCCATATTCTTCATGATTTGTTTAATTTCTTTGAAGAAAAAAAAACCTTAAAATCATTTGAAACTATTCCTATAGTCCTGTATAAGTCTAGAAAAGTTTAAAGCAAAATGTTAGACTGGGTGGTAAAAATAAACTGAAATATAAATGTTAAACTGGGGAATAAAAAATAAATAACCAAGATCCAATGAAGTGACCATGTACAATTTTTTAAAAAGTTGAATTGCAAAATTATTGGTTCCATCACTGTCCTTATTGGTTAATTATTAATTGGTTATAGGTTATTGGAAATTATTGGTTATCACTGTCATACGGAAAACAGAAAATAACAACATGTAAAACAGTAAACAACTTGAAAACTACAAGTTGAAAATGAAGTCAAACAGAAAAAAACTATCCTTTTAAACTAAAAGCATTATGAGTATTATTGAATATGCCATTTTTGTAATTTTAACAATTACATTTTTGTCCAATAACTATAGTTTATTTAAAAATAATAATGCGCATAATATAATATTTACATATATATGCCAGCTGCTACTTATAAAAATTTGCATACAATTTATAAAATAATGCCAGTACATTTTTATAGGTTGAAATAATTATTATTACTTCTGCTAATCAAGATAATTAAAGTCAAAATAAATTCAGAGATTGCAAAATTTTCTATCCACTTAATAAATGACATTAAATTAACTTAGAAATGAAGAGTAATACAAAAGTGTAATTATTAATTCCAAATTTTCAATTTTCAGGTATTCAAGAGTTATTTTAAAACAGAAAAGCATAACCATTGTCTTTTTTTTCTGACACAATATGCACACACTTAAAACAAAATCTTTTAAAAAATACATACATGTAATTTACGAGGTCTGCTATAAAGCTGTAAATGAGTTTAAAAATTTTAAATACAATATTTTCTTAAATAGATTATATATTTTACTGCATACTCACAGATTTTAGAATATTCTATAAAATATTTTAACAACTCTAATATAGTAAAAAAAAAAAAAAAATAACAGGTTTTGGAATAATACTTTATAAGTTGCACTTAATCAAAGAAGGGATTATTTTGATTTCTATGAAACTCGACTGTTAATTTTTTAACATGGGAATTTTCAACAGAATATTGTTGAATATAAAATTTATGAGTTCTCATGTTAAATGATGCAAACAGTTTGATACCCTATAATTCAAAAAATTTCTAATTTCTACTGAATAATGAGAAATAGTAAACAATAATTGAAAATCACTATTATTTGCAATAAATTATCTTGTCAAAAACACATTTTTTACTTCAACTCACCCAGATCACAAAAAGATCAGCCATTCAGAACACAAAAATGTTACCATAGTCCCTGTCAGTCATACTACACAAGGCAAACTAGATGTATTTCTAATAAGACGTATTTCTAATTTCTCTTCATTTCAAAGTTAATTTAATTTAGACTTGAGAAACATGACAGATATGTTCGTTTTCAAGAAATCATCAAATGCTGCACATTGTTGGAATCTTGGACATAAATTTAACTTCAACAATGTCAAAACTATTTCCACTCTACTCACATCAGCTTTGATACCCTGGAATCTTGTTTGATTCATATGAATGTTGATTCCCTAGTTAACAACATTAGTTCTTCATTACCTCTCCATTGCGTGTGGAAATGCATTTTACCCTGATTTGCCCCTCTGGTCAACTGCAGTTTCTTTTATTCTGTTTTTCATCTTTTTTTCTCTCAGGGTTACTGCAGTTTTTCTAGCTTTGCCTCTCACTTTTATTTTTCCATTTTTGTTGGCTACTTTACATTTATATTTCAAATCACTTTTTTTTCTTTTCATTCAAGTTCATGATGTCTTGAAAATTTAGTGTCTGTTTTTGAGAGAGATTGAAACATGTCAAGTGTTATCTCCTATTTATATATTTTGGAACCGAATTTTTAGAAGAGCTCTTTCTTAAAGTTTCAATTTTTAGGAAAGATCAAAGTTTAGATTTTCATGAAATCTTACACAGGCTAAATTTCTTTCTAGATAGTCCTATTACTTTTTATATTGTTGTTTTTTTAAGAAATTAGTATTTTTTTACTGTGAATTCTGGCAATCTTTTGTTAAAATTCATAGAAAACAAAATAATAAAAAAAGTATTTATGAAGAAATCTGCATACCAAAATCCATAATATATCGGTTGAACAATAAATTTTGTTTAAGTTAAACCCACACGTCTCAATTCAATGTTCAGTAAAAAAAAAATGGCTACAGAGAATCAATGTAATTGATCGGCGTTTGTTAATGATTGTGTTCTGTTTAGATAATAATAATTTTAAATTTTCATAAAGAAAATCGATTTTAAAACCGCCTCTGATGTTTTTTTAAAAATAGCCTCTCAAAAAGTAGAACTGACTTGTTAACGACATTACAGCTATTACTCTTTAATACGTTTTTTTTTTTTTTTTTGATTTTTTTAATTTCTTAACCCAGGGATACAACTATAAAACCAAAGCGATGTACAGAACGCTCCCCCCTAAATAACTTTTGATCTTAAAATCGAAATATTCTGTACTGAGAGGCAATATTTCTAATGTAATGAAAGATATTCTAATTTAAGTGTGAAGATGATAATTTAAGTTTCAAAACCACAAAAAAAAAAAAAACATAACTTGTACAGAACGCGAAATAAAAAACGTACCACCCTGAATAACTTTACGGTACTTTAAATTACGAAATCAGACACAAAAACTTACTTTCCATGAATAAACATACCAATTTTTCTACAGATTCGGAATTCTGACCCCCAAAATATAGTGGAGAGTCGCAACCCGGGAAATATGGTCAGGAGAGAGCTTCAAAGATTGGACCTTTAATGTTAATTTTACTTTTTGCGTATTTCGCTATATCTCGAGAGCTTTTTAAGCGAATAAAAAAATATTTGAACACAATTATGAAATTCGTTTGTTCAAAGATAATTAATT